CTCAGAGTACAAACTATCTAGTAGATGTGACTCACTGACTAACTCTTGTTGCGTACGTTATTTGACTAAACTGCCGTTCACGTATATTCTAGTATTACTTCGTTCTTATTAATGTGCGCAGACGTTGTGGCTACTCGAGGCCCACAACGTAAATCAAAAGGCACTTGCGAAGAGTACGAATGTGTATAATGGCAGTAGTCAAATTCGAAATTGTGTCAAGGTAATATTCAACAGTAAATAGACAAATGTTTGCGAAGTACATATAAAATCGGTCTGTATACACATATAATACAAGTATACAAATTAGATTAAAGAGCATGTTTACAGTTGGTATAGGAGTACTACACTCTCTGCCGACTCAGTGTGGGCAAGGCTGGTTATGGACCAGTAGCCATGGCATAGTGGGTTTAGTGTGGATGATGGCGGCAGCCCAAGACGCGGAGAGGCATGCTGTCTCTGTGATTCTATATGCTGGGGATGTTCAGGCTGAAAGTAGGATGGTACAGAGGGAATCGCATCAAGTGTACATTTGTTAATCGCACTCCAATCTTGGGCAGGGGAAGCTAAGGGTTGTTTGCATATGTCACCATAATTCCGACCTTGACAGAAAGAATGTCTAGGGGGGCCTGGCGACTGCTGGTGCTAGACGCATTGGAGGTTCTCTGGAGGATAGCTGAAGGGTAAATATCTATAAAAGATTACGCTTGCTTCTATAGACGTCATTGTGGCAGAAAGCATCTGTGCTGAAAGTTGTCAAGAAGACCTCAAAAATGTGAATGCAGTTTGTTGATACCTATTAGCGTTTATTTATTTTACAGTTGTTGTTGACAGACATAAACATGTACCGGTGTAATAAGCGTATGCTTGGGGCATGTTTGCCCTTTTTGCCTTGATTTTCACTTCAGCTCTGTCCTCGGTGGCCCACGTTGACGCTATGCTACAATATACTGGTCGCTATTGAAAAAAGGATGGATGTGTCTTCTGCCAGGCGATGTCAGTAGTGGTAAATATTGAATTGATGTCAGATGCATGGGCTTATTCGGACTAGTTTAATTTCTTTGGAGCCAACCGTCCCCGTCATTGGTTTTTGCTTGTTTGTTAACTTGACTTTTTAGACAATAGTGTGTCCAATCTGTTCATAACCCCGGAAATTCTAATTTTTGAGTGCAGGTTACAATTCAATGTATGGAGAACAAGGAAGTCAGAAGGATAGAATGCCAATGAATTAACGTTTGATAAACTTCTAAAGTCACTTTTGATAATGGTCTTGTTTATAACCCTTATATTCACAAAACTGCCAATGTAACTGATGTAAATGTCACACTCTGGCTTCGGTAACTGGAAAGGACTTCAGTATGCTAGACTTGACCACATCAAATATAATTCTGAATGATTAACTCCAATACAATATGCAGAACTACACTGAGCCTGGCTAATTTCCATTTGGTTGTGTCTACTGAGACAAGATGAGTATCTTGCGAACATGGAACCCACGTTCATAAAAATAACCATTCGAAATATTTTATTTCAACGCCACTGTCTGATTTGTAAAAGCCCTGTGTAGTCTCACGTAAAGTTTATAACGATGGGCATTTGTCTCATACATTATCCTTTAGAGTGAAACAAAAAGCAATTGTAAATTATTTTGAGATCTGAAGCTGAGATGGCACAACGAACACATAACAGCATATAATTTATATCCCTAGTGATGTAGTCTACTCGCAGTCTGAGAAATCCAGAAGCATCCCAACTACATGCTTCATTGCCACTGGCCTTTAGCCCAATTGCTTCTAAATTGTTCAGTCTTCTCCTCAGACAGTACTTCAGTAGTGTTTACACCACATATGTAGAATCCTTCTTTTGTTACCTTACACAGAGGAATAGCAACTAAGGGACCGTTTTCTTATTATTATTAGTAGACGGCCAAGAAAACTGAACAACAACTTAGAGTATTCAGCGTCCGGTAATTGGAAACCATTTGACAGTGGCATTCTCAGCAGGCTACTTTATTCTTAGTATGCTTGTGTGAAAGGCAAGTTATATTTTTATTATCAGGAATATATTTTCAGCTCTCCAGGTTAAGAATTGAATATGTGTCTATTTCTGTATTTCTATTCACTGAAGTTTCAATATTTGCTGTTCGAACTTTGTTTAAATAAGTAGGCGTAATTCAATAACAGGATACTTTATAGCAAATATATGAAATTACAATGAGTGAACAGAATCTTATTTGCCTGCAACAGAAACCTTCGGAAAATCGATCACAAGCCATTTCCTATCAATTGTCGAAGATTTTCAAACATTTGTACCAGTTCACCAGTTTAGACGATGACTTGGTTTCATACTTACAGGCTGCAAAAGAAAGCGAAGATGAACAGCATTGTTCCTACATAAAGGAGTTGAGGATGTGAGTCACTTTAGCTGAAAACAAAATTGTTAGGTACTCAAAAACATCAAGGTGTCATCAGTGCTGTAGATGCAGCGGAATCAAAGATTAGGCAATACAGTCTTACTACAAGACTGAAACAAATCCCAGGAACAGATAACTCATCGATATTGCAACCAACCAAAATTTTTGATCAAACTGAAGTTGATGGTTTGAATTTTATTTGTTAAATATGTGTAGATTCTTTTCTTGGAGAACTTGGACTTTGACGAAGGAAGACATTTATTTCAATGGCAAGCCTCGAAATCCCAGTATGAAATGTTTTATTTAAATTACTTAAGATTTCGGTCAGAAATCACTTATGTGTCTTTTATCGCCAGTACTCATAGGGTTTTCGAAAGTTTTCTAATTAATAAGTAAACACATGGTATTTATCGATTGTTTAAAGTTGTAATGAGTGGTTTCTAATAAATAACAAGGTATTAATTCCGTATTAGATGTTAAAGTTATGCACTAGGTGAAATTTGGTGTAAAGCCCCCGTTTACACTCTTATTGAGCAATCAAAAAGGTCATTAGCCTCTCTAAAGCAGTGATAAAATTTCGATTATTACTTCAATACTTTAGAATACCACAAATTTATATGCTGCGAATTCTCGAATACTGACTGAAAAGTTGTCATAAGTAGTAATAAACACTGAAGCTTATATTTGTATTGCGGATCTTCCCTAAATACGAAAGCTAATAGAGTTACTGAAGATGCTCCCAAATACCATTACATCCCTGGGTGTAGTTCATTATTTTCCTTTTAATTTCCAGGACAAACAATAAAGTATCAGTATTCTGTTGTTTTACCGAAAATGGCGCCATGGAAGTTTTCTAGAAACAATATATATTTAAGGATAGGTGGCGAAACTATTGAGTCCACAAACCAATTCACTTATTCGGGAAATTGCATCAGTTGCTGATGAAATCGTAACACATAAAAAGAGCCTATCTGACACTTCCCAATAGCTACTGTCTTTGGTTCAGGCATGAAATCCGAATACTGGTTATCTTGTTTACATCATACAGTAGGTTCTGTGTTCTGTTGCAGTGCAAAGTTCGATGCTGATTTTAATATGAATTCATTGACTCAAATTTAGCGATAATATGCACTTTCAGTGTCAGTTTGTGGTTGATTTCTGAATAGAAACAGAATGATTACGGCTTGGGTATCATAGTCGTTATGTGGTCTGAAAGCATCTCTAGCTTTCTTACTGGCGAGAGTTTTTTCTTGTGTTTCATACCGAAAGTCATCATACAATGGATCACAGACTTCTGTAAGGGGCATATCTTGGTGTGATTTGCGTCTTCGGATTTCCAGTAATATTTAATAACCACCAGCACTTTCTTTGACATTTTGGTCAACAATAAATGTTGCAATTTATCCAAGAATGATTACTTTTCCATCTTCAAAACTGTGGTCACTAGATTTGATAATTAGGTTACTCCAACATGCATATTTTTGAAATTAGTATAATCCTGCCAGATTACATACCGAGTCAGGTGAATTAGCCACAGTGTTAGTTGACTCACTGTTGGTCTCTCATCTATCAGTGTCATGTTTGTGAAGACGCTGGTAGTGTTGTATAAAGAATACCCATAGGAGTTTAGACAGACTCCGCCGTTATGGTATTGCATTGCTTGCTGAGAACTCCAAATTATCAAACGTCCTGTTCGGAAAAATATCATTATTACTTATCGCATTCACTTTCTTTGCGTTCATGTTCATTCCTTTAGAATACAGTAACTCAAATTGATTCACTTTTCTCAGTTAGTATCAGTCAGGGAATATATGTCTTCCAGAAGCTTCATTCATTATGGCTTGAACTTTGAAGGGTTATGTCTCATATTCATTGATGAAACTGTCAGGATGAATGTCCCTGAATTGTTTTATAGCTGAATTCTATCTTTAAAAATTGTCTCACTAGTAAAATATGGCGTTACAAAACGACAGCTAGATTTCCGTTAAGACCTTTAGATCATAACTGAATTATATAATGTTAAGTGGTTCAGATCTTTGTACGTTTCACTCGGAACTTGACTATAAGGCTGTGAACACTAGCTGCAGCTAATAGACTATGTTTTATTTGTGTTTACTAAGTACTATGGTCACCATTTATGCGTCATAATATCCAACTGGTGAATTCGTTGCAATTTATATCACATGAAAGGAAATTACTTGAAGTAACACAGTTATTTTGGGTTGATACAAAATAATCTAAACTATTAAATGACCTATAACTTATTGCCATTGTTTCTGCAAGAAAACTATTTAAAAACCAGTGGATGGCATATTTTGCTTTTTCAAATCTGGACCGTTTTATTCGGTCATATTCTCCCCACTTCTTATTTCTTTCGTGAAAGACAATTATATGAAGTAGATAACAATTCAGATAAGGTGATGCAGCATAAACAAATGCAACCATCATCTCTGTCATCCTTACGGATAATCTTCTTAATATTTACAATGAGATCGCTTCAAAACAAATACCTTTCAGTCAACGTTATCATTGTATATAAATTTTACTGACAATTACTCACCCATTTAGCTTTCTACAGTATTCTTTCAAAATGCAAAAGGTGTCATATTTATTATTTATCACATTACTGGGTAGGTTAACGGTGATAGCTTTAAGTATGAAGTTAGGGTGAAAGTTTTTGCTCTCCACTCACTTGAGCACCACACGAATTCCAGAAAAAATATCATCCACAGTTAACTTTATATGCATGTTTCATGTTCAGAGAAATACGAACACGAAACTGTATCTCATGTGTAGCTTTCTAGTCACATTTACAATAAAGAATAATTTCTAAATGTCTACAAAATACTTTATCTTTTCTTCAACTTTCATAGGTTTCCCTATTTCAGCAAACATTTCTAAATATGAAGAAAATCAGATTTTTGTAAACTTCTTTCGGTAGGGAAATCTTCCCTCAAAGTCAAACGCAAAGCAAATGATAGGAAAAAGTTTAACACTAAGAAATACCCGAATGATGATGTAGTAAGTTCTTGATTTTTATGCATAAGATGAATTAAAAACCTGAAGCGAATCTTTTTGTATATTTTAATACATTCGTCACTCTTTTGAGTTCCGATTGGAACATATGGCCTTAGGTTTTCAAGTTTCATTAGCGATGGTATGATCTTTGGGAGGAAGGGGTGGGGATTTCCCTGACTCACGCCTAACCGTCTCTAGCTCACAATCGTCTAGTAAACTTTTGTTTCCACGCACGATTAAATAATACGTGTAATGACAGGGGACAAGAGCCAGGAAACAGACTGTTTACTGGGAAAATCATTGTACATTATTGTCAGCGGAGAGGCGACGTCTTCTGATTCGTTGTTTTCTCGCTAAAGGTTATCCTGTAATATTTGTGGCCGTTTCTTAGAAAGTTAAGCCATATATCTGTGAATCATATTTGCACACGTTAAGGCCGCTGTGATTGGTTTGTGAGTTCCTCAAGGCGAAGCTTTGTTATTTTTTTTCTCATGACCCTGATTCTGGATGTAACATTGTCACAAACTGTTGTTTGCAATTTTGGCTTGTTCGCAGCCAACTCTCACCATATAATTGTAGCTGCTCCACTTTGTAAGACGAATATTTATGAAAATTGAGGTTTTATAAAGAAATTACGGAAACGACATCTGGCAAACGTTTTGACAAATTTATGGTTGCAGCTATTTATAAAAACTGTAGCTTTTTGCAACTAAACGGATAAACGGAATATAGTTAACATATTATGTACTGCACCATATGGTGATGCCATATATCAGGTGATTAACAATGGGAAGGTTACTGAAGGGTATGAAGTGAGGAAAGAAGTAAGAGAAGATTGCCTACTGTCATCACTTATATTCCTGACTGTGGTAGGTTGGATCGTGGAGGACAAGAAGATGGCACTAGAAGATATTTACCTGATTTCACACAAACTCAAAGGCAGAGGAGGTAGAGAAGACAGGACTTCAATTGAACACAGAAAGGACAAAGGTGATGAAGGCAGTTGGCCAAGAAAAACAAGCATCACTGACTGCCAAAGGGAGAAATCTAAAGAAAGTCGCGTCTTTCACATACCTGATCTGAACGGCATTGTTTCATCTACAGGCTGCAAGAATGAGGCTGCCGAAGCCAAACAGGGTCAACAAACAAAACAAATCTTCCATAGTCGCAAAAGAATATAGAAACCTGCTTCATTCAGTGTGGGGACCAAGTTCCGTATTTTCAGCACTAGTGTCAGTTGAGACAGTGCTTCTATATAGTTTAGGGATTAGGACACACATCATCAGAAGTATTTTCAATGGAGTGCTGGATACTTTCATGATGAAGATTAAGTGTCTGGCTAGAATGTATTAGAAACACGGAAATTAATATATGTGTAAAACGTGGGCACTGTGGCAGTAAGTAATTCCATATTAGTTTGTTTATTAGATGTATCACACGCGAAGTGAAACAGTATTATTTACTGGATGCCATGCTTTCGAATAAAATCTGTTATTGTTCATAATCATCTCGTCAATTATAATCACACGACTTCGAAACTTCAGTTTTATAGTTTTCTTTGTTCTCTCCTATTTGTCGTCGTTGGGTAGATGAATTTTTTTTAAAGATAAGATAGATAAGTTTTTTTCCGGATATCTGGGTGGACAGGTGTTGAATCATTCCTATTACATGCATTTGCAGTTGAATCGATAAACAAAGCTTCAGTTATCAATCTCTCCTTCGCTCCACCCTGTGGCATTAGATTTTAGAACTGTCATCTTATCCCATCCATCCTATTGTATGGTTGTGTGTAATTGCGTGTAGTGAGTGGTATAGCTGAACTATTCTCTAGATTTCTTATCTTATTCGGGTCAACTAATCTAGATTTTGCTATGTTTTTATGCTCAGCTAGTCTGACTGCTCCTGTTCTATAGCCATAGCACTAAATGCAATCACACACAACCATACAATAGGATGGATGGGATAAGATGACAGAAGCTTTGTTTATCGATTCAACTGCAAATGCATGTAATAGGAATGATTCAACACCTGTCCACCCAGATATCCGGAAAATTTATCTACCCCAACGACGACAAATAGGAGAGAACAAAGAAAACTATAAAACTGAAGTTTCGAAGTCGTGTGATTATAATTGACGAGATGATTATGAACAATAACAGATTGTGTTCGAAACTGTGTCATCCAGTAAATAATCCTGTTTCACTCAGCGTGTGGTACATCTAATAAACAAACTAATATAGAAGAAACACGGAATTTTGATGACGACCCAACCAACAACGAATATGTAAGGGGAAATGGTGGTCGAATGGGAAATTTCGAGTTGGGTGTTGGGCCAGGTGTGACATGAAAAATGCCGTATGAAGAGGAAATGTTGGAACGAGCCAAAAAGTTTGCAAAGAAGAGAATAAAGCATAGAAGTGCCGCTGAGTCTTTTTGTTACACTCAGGATCCAAGAGAATATTAATGATAACTACATCACACAGCCAACAGCTTCGTATTCATAAGTCTGATCAGTAAGCCAATAGACATGTTATATCATTTGTTGTAGTAGGAGCTTTCAAATTTCACTTTTACTGCTAATCAGGAAATAAATTTGCTTATCATTGACAGATATTATCAAATCCAGACTTAAAATTCTCTCAAAGATCAATTGTATCAAGTAGTTCAAAAGAAAGAGAGGACAAAGTTCCTTTTGTGGTTGAACCAGAGTCAATTGTTTTCAACGCTTATCAAATAGGAAACATGTATGAGGTAATAGCTATGCACAGTTTAATGCCAACCTTATTTATTTCTAGACTACTGTTAAAATACGCAATGTTTCAAAGATTGCTCGGTCAATTCGTGTTCTACCGCCTAAAACAAGCTATTTTTCAATAAATGAAGGTAAGTCTATGATATAGTGGGATTGATGATTGAAGATTATTTGGTCGAAATTCTCCTGTTGTATATCCTGAGAGACTAGGTATGTCAAAGAGTGTAATAATGCCCATGAGTATCCTCCAACTGTAAATGGGCTTGTTTTATATGAACACGAAGATGTTTTTGATGTGGTTGTGTTCTCTGAGCTGGATGGTTTATTTTTGAAGTTTTCATTGCCCTACTGGGCGACATCCTCACCTCAGCGCGTACTTCGATTTGTTGAAGTGAGCTTTTAGATTTCTCCACGAGTTTATTATTCATCTTTCCTGGTGACCTGATTATTATTATTGTTCCCTTGGGTTCCTAGTGGAACATAGGGCTTCAACTGAACGTCTCCACTTGCCACTTCTGTCTTCTGCTGTTCTTCTCACCTGCATCCCTGTTAGTCCATACTCTTTCAACCAACTCCTCTTCACACGATCTCCTCCATGTCACCCTTGCACTGACGTCCAACTCGCCGCTTCCCTTTCGGCCTGGTTCCACTCGAGCAATGGCCTAACGCGCGCGATGTCACCCAGTGGCCTCCTCAGCCAGTGTCCAATCCATCTCCATCCACTTTCTTCTGCATATTTGTCGGTTGGCGATTGGTTCTTGTTTTGTTTGTTCCCATAGTTTCTTGGTGATTCTTTCCGACCCGGCCATCTGATCTTCAGTATAGATCCAGGGAAGACAGTTAGTTGTTGATAAAGGTCTGCAACAGGCTGTTGGTGGAAATATTCTTTGTGACCCTCCCGCCAAGTTTCTCATCCGTATAGAAGAAGTGACTTTACGTTTGTATTGAAAATCTGACCGAATTTTGTTGTTGATGCTGGCTGAGTGACGAAGATTTCCAGATTGGTTTCAGGTTGATGAATGTATTTCTCGCTCGTCTTCCCGATTCTCGCTCGATTTGACACCCTCTTCCGTTCCTCCTGTAGTTGAGACAATTCTCCCTAGATAAGTGTGTCAGCACACAAAAACAACGAATCGCGTTCAAGGTCAGGTCACCAGGAGATGACTTAAAAGCCCGTGGAGAAATCTAAAAGCTCACTTCAACAAATAGAAGTATGGGCTAAAGTGAGGATGTCGCCTAGTTGTGCAATGAAAGCTTCGCAAATAAACCATCCAGCTAGCTCAGAGAACACACAACTGCGTCAAAATTATTCACCTGAATACGGAACTGTTAGAAAACCAAACGAGGATAATAATTTGATCGTTGAAAATGGGAAATGTAATTCGAGATCAGAAATCTATGGCAGTGGTGTCTGTTTAACTAACTACAGCATGTACACAAACAACTGGACATAACACTTAGGTGGCTGACGATGTGCCTTCAGCTAAGCTAGCCAGCTTAACATTAAAGATGAGCACCCAATGTTGAATCATAAAAAGTGTAGGCCAGTGATTTTGGAAGTTATTTACCGCTTCGAGTACTTCTATGCCACCAGTCAAATCATAACAAAGAATAGTGAATCGGCAATAAACATTACAGGGCGAAATGTTGTAGTCTTCGCCTTGTTTATCGGCCTAATTTCATTTCCGTTACCTGCTACCAATAAGTGTTTGCAATCTACATACTCATTTTACATAAAGAAACTCTGATAAGAGCGTATTTTATGCGTCTGTGAAATGAATTCAGTATAGGAAATTAAACAAATCATATTTTTCATTGTTGTAACCATATTACTACCGTTTTCTTGGATTCCGCGGAGTGTAATATGCGGGGCTTCATTAGTGCATCCCTGTCTCATTCTCTTCTCAGATGTCCTTCCTAGCTGGCTCTTTAATTTCTTAGAAGCTTTCATTTTCTCCTCACATGATCTACTCCATATCACTTTAGAACACATACTTACCTCATTGTTCTCCATTTGAACTCCAGCCGTATGGCACGTCACTCAATTGTCATCTCCGAATGTCTAGTTCATTCCATTTTGTTTTGCATATCTGTTAGGCGATAGATTTTTGGTTGGTTCACTCGTTATCAGAGTTTTTTGTCCCTAGTTCCTTCTGGCTGGCTATCTGATTTTCAGCATTGGAGCAATGATGACTGTTCATTCGAGTCTTCAGTAGCCTGTTCGAAATGCTTTTCGTAACCGGCGCTCCTAGCCTCTCGACCGTATATCTGCACTGACTTCAGAGTAATGTTGAAAATGCGAGTCTTATTCCTTATGGAAGCTAAATTTCTTCTGAGAGCATCAAATATCTAAAAGAAATACTATCTGAAACAGACTGTTCAGCTGAGCTTATATGGCATATGAAAGTTTTCAAGATGGTATCTATAGGATGAATCCAGTAATAGCGTACAAAGAAATTGAAGATGAGTTTAAGTAGTACACTCAGGATATTTTTAGCAGACATAGTTTCGATGCATTCTGCATATAGCTTACTTTCAAATATATAAGCAAATTGTTTTATTTTTTACGAGTTTAACCACGGATTGATATCAGTTAGAGAACCATTGAAGAGGAGCACAGCTATTTCATCCTAGTTTGCGAATCATCAGCAATACGCACCCACCACCAGGGTTAGAACCCAGGATCTTCCGGTTACAAACAGGCAAGCTCGTGTAGCGTTCAGCCATTGGGAACCGATTCAATGGACAGTCCATGAATTCTAACTTCTACCAAATGGTGATTCAGCTCGACCACCAACCGATACCATCAGTGAGAAATCCATCCTCACACTTGACTGATTGAACCTCACTGGTCATGACTTCTCACTAATGTGATAGGATTCCGCGTAAAGTAGCATATCGTCATTATCCATGTATGTTCTGATTAATTATTCGATCAATCATTTTTCACGGTTGTGAGGCCAAATTTATTGTTGTAAAGTAAACGTATAAATACCATGTGTTGTTTTCCTAATGGTTGTTATGATTACACAATATACGCTCACAGGCCAGCCTTTATCTTTTGATATTTGCATGGCTCAGTGAATCGGAGGGTACCACAGGCAAATAGGCATATTAGGCAGACGCAGACAGAACAAAGCGACTACGGTTCTCAAACAGTTCAGTATCAGTTATAACAAATTGGCGGCAGGGTTACTTCAGTTCACTGAAGTTATAACAACTAGAATTCCAGGAAACTCCGTCCCGTGGCCAGTCAGTCATTAGCGAGCATCAGATGAATTTTCAATGGTTGGTTGGTAAGGATTACATTTATTTTTTACGAGTTTAACTGCGGATTGATATCAGTTATAGGACCATTGAAAATCAGCACTGGAGTACTAGACGGCTGTTTCATCCTAGTTTGGGTGGTTGCGCAAAAATCACAGATTGGTAGAAGTTACAATTTATGGACTAGTCAATGAATCGGTCCCTAGTGGCTGAATGGTATATCAGCTTTCCTGCTTCTAACCGGAAGGTCCTGGCTTCGAACCCCAATGGGGTGGGTGCGTATTGCCGATGATTCCTAAACCTAGGATGAGACAGCTGCCCGGTACTCCATGGTTTTCAGGGGTTTTCACGCCGTAGTCATACTCGTAAAAACTGAACTAATCCTTACAAACCGACTCTTGAAGATTGTTTCATTACTAATAAGTACCATATTAATGACATTAGCAGAGTATTGTCAACCCCTAAATGGTGAAAAAATCGGTGAAAAATACCTCGTGAATATTAACAGCTAAGACCGGAATATGAAATATGAAAAATGCCCAGATATATTGTTATATCTGCGGTGCACGGACAATCCAATGAATATTCAGAGCTTAGAATTAATTGAGATTTGATGAACAGAGGTGACCTACGCAACGAGTTTCTCTTCACTGTGGATACAAAAGTATATGACAATTTAAAGAAATTCTTCAGATTTTTGCATCATTCTTATACAGAACAGTAATAATAAGCTTCAAATGACTAATAATCTCTTTTTTTAGAAGGGCAGCATAATGGAAATGGCAACTTGAATTTAGTTTGCGAAATTGCCCAGTCGGTTACTTTTTTTGTGGACCTGGGATATGTGGGTAAAAACGTGGGTAGTTTTCCGTTTAAATGTGGGCAAAGTGGGAATAAGTAGGCTGTTTTCTAAAATGACATGGGAAAACGGGGAAAAGGTGGGAAATGTGGCCAAAGTGGGCAAAATCGGTTGCATTTACACCATCTTTTGCCCACGTGTTTGCCGATCAAAATTACCCTTTTATCCCACGTTTGCCCACGTTTGCCCATGTGCATTAACCGACTGGGTGCATTTAGAAATTAACCTTATGTTTGATATTGTTTGTACTTTTTTCAAGCGTCAGACTGTGGGAAATGAGGCGACAGGAATACTCTAGAAGATCTGGATTTTGCACGTGAATGATATATATATGTATGATGTCACATAAACTCTAAGACTTACAGGCGAAAGATAGCAAACTGGCTGAAAGAGCAAGCAGCGAAGACAGGACTGAAGGTGAGTACAGAGAAGATGGAGGTGCTGAAGATTACCAACCAATGAAGAGCAACAACAACAACAACAACAACCAGCACCAATCACCATCAACAGGAGATATTTAACAGAGGTAACCTCCTGCCTTCACTTATCTCTAAGAAGCATCGTTTCAACTGCAGGCGGACACGATGGATGAAGATTTCAAAGCCAGTCAGAATCGGAAGGACAAGATACACTTTCAACAACCTAAAACCAGTTTGGAAATCATCTGCACCCAGCCAGCATAAAGAAAAAGATTTGGATTTTTAACATCAGTGTAAAGTCTGTCGGAGAGTTCTTCTATACGGGTCAGGAACTTGCACTGCGTGTCATGAAAACGATTTCCAACAGGTTTTCGATTTTCATCAACAGCTGCTTTTGCTGACTCCACACTGAAGATCAAATGGCCAGCTGGCCAGAAAGAATAAGTAGCAAGAAACGCAAGCTGGTAACAAACTAACCAAGAGCTGATTACTTAAATAAATATGCACGAGAAAATGAAGTTGGATCGGGCACACATTGACTAAATCACCGAATGACATCGCGCTCAACGCAAGCCATCGCTTGAGTGGAACCTCCTAGGTTGACATGGAGGAGATCGTGTGGATAGGAGGAGGAGATAAGAGATTGTGGGCAGTCGTGGCCCCAGTTGAAGAGGAGATATGTTGCTGAAGCCCTATGTTCCACCTGGAACCCAAGGGGATAATAACAATTTAAAATACAGTTTAAAAGCAATAAAAAAAAGAACTTTCTGTTTGGTTTCAGTGTTCAAAACATGAATGTAGTGTTGAATATAATCTCCTTAAAATAAAGTCTTTTTAGTGCATTGATGGTTCTGAGGTGAAATGATCGCTTACCACTTATCAAGGTCCAGCTTCGATTCCCAACTCTTAAATGTCGTCTAGTGTACCAGCTCCGGAAAGATGCAGAGCTGGGCATGAGGTTAGGAGCTTCACCTCGTGAAAACAACACTATCGCTGCAGAAACTTCAGAGCTTAAGGCTTCAAGTCCTATATTCCACTAATTACTAATTGATCATAGGTGCCTGCGTTCTATTTCCCGTGTAAAGTGGCATAATAAGGTGAGCAACATGGAGGTTAGGCGTAGAGTTCTAGGTAAACAGGGGAAATCAATCGACGAAGTCGTGAAGCTACAAAGACTGAGATGGTTAGGACATGTGTTACGTATGCCAAGCCATCGCCTCCCTCGACGAGCAATGTTAGCGGATATAGGGTCTGGCTGGAAAAAAGCTAGCGGCGGTCAAACAAAAACTTGGCCTCACCAGTCATTGAAATCCACAACAGTTGGTCTAAGCCACGTAGGAAGGTGTAGACTGGCTTCGTGGTTGGGGTCCTCGGGACGGTAAAAATCTATGGTTGGAAACAATTGGTGACATGGCTCAAAACTGTTCTCAGTGGCGCAGATGCATCCACTCCCTGTGACTTATGATCTTCAATGAAACTGTTTTGTATTTCTTTATTACTCCTTTGTCTCACACCTCTGCTCACTGTTTCTATTATGCTTTTCTTGTACTTTCTTCTCTTGCTTCGCGTGCTACACGGAATGTGGCGACTTGAACTTCCGCACATTTGTGCAAAGTTCTATGTCGAAAACAGACAGACAGACAGACCACTAATTACTGAAAGGAATATAAAGTTATTTTTCTGTTACCTCTTACAAGCTATGTTCTTCCATTAGCTTATGTATCATTTCTAACATCTTCATCGCGTTAGTAGACGCAGTATAACGGTAGCAATTAAGAAAAGTAATAATAATAATAATGACTGTCTGGAACGCATTAAGATGTATAAGCCAGAAAATAGCTTATCCTCTTTCTACACTGTTGACCAACTGAGTTCCATGGAACAAGTAGACGAAAGGAATCATTCATATGTCTCACCAATGAAAATGCTTTCATATGAATTGCACTAAACTCTAAAGGTACACTGCGTTCAACCTAAAAAAGTGATGAATTTTCAGAGGTTCTTGTGACAACCATATCATGGATTGTTACATGACTTAAAAAGTATTTATAAGTATATATATATTATTCCCTCACGTTCCCAGTGGAACATAGGGCTTCAAGCTTGAGACTTGAAGTTTCTGTAGCAATGGCGTTTATTTTACAGGATTGGGTCGCTAGCATCATGCCCAACCTTTCCTTTTTACCAGCTTTATTACTGGCTAAGCGAAGTAAAGGAGTGAGTCGTTGGCCGGGGATCGAATCCCGGACCAACTGGGATGGTCGGTGAGCGTCCTAACCGCTGTGTTACCGACGCATCACAAAGTATATATTTCATTTAATTATTGATAATAATTGCTCAGATAATGTGACATGAAGCTGAATTTCTTTATTTTGTAGGAAAATTTCCACTTCCCGGCAGTAGTGTTATTGCGCCTGGAATGGCTGCCAATTTTATCCTACGCTTTTCACCTGATAATCTTGGTGATTTCGAAGATGAATTCATAGTGAAGTATGAAAATCAAATGGAACCGTTGAATGTTAAACTTTTGGGAAGAAAATCCCGTCCACACCTTAATAGTGAGTTTCTTATCTATGCTTTAACATCTTTTTCTGTGTGTTATTTTTTAGAACAAAGAAGTTCGATGAAGAGTCTCTTTTCGCTGGTGAATTCAGTCACTTAGCTGTACAATTACATTTGTATATATAATTACTCTGCGTATATGTGTGTACATTAGGATTGTCAAACAAAAATAGAAAATAAAATCGCCTTTCTCGACAACGGGCAATGTTAGCTGACATAGGATGGATCAGGTTGGAGAAGAGCCAGTGGTGGTCAAACCAAAAGATGGCTTCATCAGTCAATGAAATCCACAACAGTTAGTTTACGCCAGCTAGTCACGAAGGAAGGTGTAGACTTCCTGACTGGCTAATTGGGGTCCTCGGAACGGTAAAAACCAATGGTTGGAAACAATTAGTGATACGGCTCAAAATCGTTCTCAATGGCCGGCACATATTTATTTTATTTTTATTTTTATTTACAGCTTGATTCCACACCGTATTTTTGGTACAAGTATGGAATTTTCATCATGGATATCGGTAGCCCAAATTTTGCAGGCCGACCATAGATATCAGGTGTGCGCCGGCAGGGGATCGAACCTCGGACCATGTGCATGGTCGGCGAGAGTCCTAGCCACTGTGCCACCGACGCATCCACTCCTTGTGACTTATAACACCCAATAAAACCACATTGTTCTTCGTTATTACTATTCCTTTTGTATCATATCCCTGTTTACTGTCTCTATTTTACATATCTTCTACTTTTTTCTCTTGCTTTGTGTGCTACATGGAGTATGGTGGCTTGAACTGTCGCACATATGTGCAAAGTTTTATGTCGAAAACAGACAGACTATGTGTTCAATTATACCACTCTTTATTGATATACTGTCGCCTTTCCGTAGACAAGCTGGATAATGTTCTTTGACTCTTTTGGATAAAAGATGCATTGAGCGACCTATTTATCTTGCACCACACTAGCATATAAATTGGTAGATACACACAGAAATGGTGAAATGGGACAGTTTTTGTTTGGAGTTGTTGAATAACAGTGGGCGGCTTGAGAATACCAGTCGTAATGTAGCCGTAGAGAATGTTGTTTTCAGGGCTTTAGACATTTTTTTCTCGCCTTTGAACGCCACATTTTTATTTTTTTTAAATTTTTGATTTACAGCTTGATTCTACACTGTATTTTCGGTACAAGTATGGAATTTTCAGGATGGATATCGGTAGCCCAAGTTTTGCAGGCCGACCATAGATATCACGTGTGCGTCGGTGCGGGCTCGAACCCCGGACTATGTGCATGGTCGGCGAGAGTCCTAACCACTGCACCACATTCATGTGCAGCATCTTCTTCGGCACAGAGACAGCTTGTTCGCTGGTGATTTTGGGCTTTATATGTTTATCTATAAAGTGTGGTGGAGAGCCATTCTCAAGTTATGTCTTGCTCAAAAGAGTGATCTCCTTTTCTACTGACTCGGGGATGCAAATTCTACGGATTCTTTTCGCTTATGATTGATCAGTACGCAACTGTAGAAGTTTGTCAACTAACCGTTTCATGTGGGCTTTCGATATATTGATCTCTGCAAAGTCCCATCAGTCATTTCATGTTTAGCAGTTTTAAATGATAGGTTTTCTGTGAAGATTTCTACGTTAATTCTCCAGACGTTTAGCCAGAAGACATTAAAGAGTGAATCACACACAATTGGAATATGATATTTTGGATTATCGTTTCACATCATTTAGAAAACTTCCTTGCAGGGCCAACCAGACAACTGTTTCGTCCTAGTTTGGGACTCTTCATCAGCAGAGATAATGGGGTGCAGTCCATTAGTCTATGAATTTTAAATTCTGCCGATTCACGATAAATAACGTGGCTGTCAGCTCGTATCACCGTATACGAGCTCACCTCGTAAACTGAAGGTTCTGTGTTCAATCCCTTGTGGCATAATTGATGATTATTTCTGAAGTGTCCCAGAATAGAATGAAGTATCTGTCCATTACTCCCTGGTTTCCAATAGTTCTCTAAATGAAGTCAGTTTGGAGCTCAGCACGACGGTGCAGCAGTCCAACCTTCAGCACTTTGATGAGGCCCAATTAAAAGCAGGTAAAAGAAAAGCAAGGGAACTGAGACATGAATTTTACATGAAGTGTTTCTTTCCTAGTTAATTTACTACAAATTGTCTGATAATGTCAATTTGCATACTTCGGTGAATTATTCAATTTATGCAAAAAGTTCATTAGCGTTATAGTATATACTACTGATTATTGATATGAGTAGATGAAAACTAATCACGGCAAGAAAGGAGTACTTTCTAACCAGTGATTGAAACATTCATTTTGAGGCTGATGTGATCACTGATAGACCTCATTCAACTCAGATCAAACAGCCAAATTACTTCCATCAACATACACTTCCTTTTTACGTGAGAGGTTTCAAACTACTCAAATCACAATCAATAACAACTGGTTCATGCCATTATGATGTTTCACTTGTCTTTTATGCCTGCCATTTAAGTCTATCAAGCAGATCACATGTTTTGATCTAAACATAATTTTGATTTCCAAAGGGAACTATAATGATTTTTTACCGCGAAGTGTTTAATTTTCAAATGGTCAGTTTGATACTGAAGGTCATATCTTGGATACATTTAACCTGATTATTACTCAGAGCATTATTTACTGACAGATGAAGGAAAATACATTTATGTGTATAAGTTGCAGCTGAAAATACTTGTACAGCTCCAGTGTAGAATCTTGTAAATGCACACTTATGAGAAATCACTAAATGGATCTCGGCCAATATTCCGGCTACCTATACACTTGTTGTGCGTCGGTGGCACAGTGGTAGAATGCTCGCCAACCATGAATGTGGTTCCGGGTTCGATCCCCGGCCGATGCACTCCTTTACCTCGCTAAGCCAGTACTAAGACTGGTGAAGAGGGAAGGTTGCGCATGAAACTAGCAATCCCATCCCTTAAATATACTAAACACTACTGCTACAGAAACTTAGGGCCTATAGCTTGAAGCCACCCTATATTCCACTGGGAACTTAAAGAAATAAAAAAAAATAACAAAGTATAAAAGGTCAAAAGTATAAATGATATAGGGTTAAATGTTTGTTTCGGGGATATTTAAGGGATGTTAGTCGTTGATGGAAGCCAGTGATGCCTTTGGCTTTCAATATTCACCAGTATTTCGCTACATTTTTCATAGAATACGTTCCCGGCGATCCTTGTTCCTGATCGAAATGCAGTTTTATGACTTATGTATAAATAATGACAAAGTTTCGACGTAGAACTTTGCACAGAAGTGTTCCCTTTCAAATTGCCATGCACCATGTAACATACGTGCAACAGACATGTTATTAGCATAGGAAACCACTAGGGTTAAATGGACACAGGAAAGCACAAAGAGTAATTGCATTTGCCTTAGTGAGAACCATTTTGATCTGTATCACCAATAGTGCCAAGTTATTGATTCCAGGTATCCGGACGATCCGAACCAGGCAGTCTATAACCCTCTATGTGGCTCAAAGCAACCATCAAAGACTTCAAAGATAGATTCTAAATTATGGTTTGACTACCCATTATTCTTTCCTAATGCAACCCTATATCCCCCAAGATTGCTCGACGTGGAAGGCGGTGGCTCGAAACATGTTCTATCCATCTCACTCAGTGTAACTTCACAATTTCATCGGTTCAGTTATCTTTATTAACTGGCTGTTTATACGCCTAATCTCCATATTACCCATCGTTTTTTTTATTTATCACTTATCACGGGAGGCAGAATGCAAATCTCTGTGGTCAGAGACAGTTAACCTTTTCACATCTTCCACTTTTAATGACAATGTGTAAATATAAAAATCGATTTTTATATTTGATATTACTGACTGCAATCATTGAATTACTTCATCTTGGATTTCTTTTCACACAAACTATTCAGTACATGAATGTTACGATTTGGGTTCTACACTGAAAGGCAGCACAAAAGTGAATCATATACAAATTGAAAATTATAATCCAGAAATTGTCTCTAGTGGAGAATTCCTCTTTTTAACTAAAGAATTATTTGATAAGTGTTCAAAGTTTGATGCAAAGAAATTCGCCGTAAGTAAATGCCCTTAACGTGTTGTTTTCAAAATCAATGTTAATAATAGTATCAATAAATTTAATTATTAAATGATAAAGTTATTTTAATATTCAAGTTTTGGTTTGTAGGGATTTGATTGATTGCTTACAGAATTTCATTATGAGCTGACATCGGTTAGAGAAGCATTAGAAAACCAACGGGGATTACTGGATAGCAAGTCACGAGTGAGGACAAATACTCGTCAGCCATGACATTGGCTTAATCGTCTACGAGCTCACTCGCCTTGTAACCAGAAGGTCCTGTGTTCGAGCCCCAACGGGTGAGTGCGTAATGATGAAGAATCCCTAACCAGTGGGACGAAACGGTTGTCCAGCAGTTCTCCCTGCAGGTTTTCCAATGGTTCTCTAACCTATGTCAACTCATGATAAAATCCTGTAACCGATAAAGTTATTTGTTTTCCACGGCTTGTGTTTATCAAAGGACCAGTAAACTACGGTTAAGTCCCTTGTTCACAAATCAACCACAGCAGAGTGATGCTTATAGGGAGAAATGCATGTTTCGAGGTTTTCAGGTATTCAAATCTGACTTAACTATCGTAGATAGGTGAGGTAACAACTAGTTGAAGGAAAGTTAAGGACGAGTTGATGTCTTAATTATTCATAGTTTTCTAGTCATTGATATAGTTTGATACCATGAATTGCAAGTGCGTCCGTGGCACATAGATTAGGACACTAGGGGACTATGCATATGGTCCGGGGTTCGATCTCCAGCCGACGCAAACCTTTATCTCGTTAAGCCGGAAATAAAAGCTGGTAAAGCGGAAAGGTTGGGCATGATGCTAGCAACCTCTTCCTGTAAAAATAAATGCCACTCCTACAGAAACTTGAAGCCTCTAGCTTGAAACCCTATGTTCCACTGGGAACGTGAAGGAATAGAAAAAGTTGCAGGGTAGAAATCTCTATTTAGGCATTTGGAAGACAACAGGAATGATGGAAGGAGGATTCGTTTTTGAAATAGGTCCTCATCTTTGCTGTCATATATACAGCGATTCTTAATAAGATGCGGAAATCCACCAGTCTAGTGGTGATAAGTTTGTTGACAATCATTTGGTCAATATCTCAACATGTCAAGGGGTTGTGCGTCGGTGGCACAGTGGTTAGGACTCTCGCTGACCATGCACATGGTCCGGGCTTCGATCTCCTGCCGACGCACAACTGATATCTATGGTCGGCCTGCGAAATTTGGGCTACCGATATCCATGCTGATAATACAGTTTGGAATCAAGCTGTAAATAAAAAAAAAAAATTAAAAAAAAATTAGCCGTGGAAATCAATACAACGAACAAAGGGTAGAAATACTTGCGATAATTAGTTAAGTGGATTACGCAATCAGTTATTTGGAAAAATAGGAACCGTAATTAAGAAACAGGTGAATAAGGAAAAGCACATGGACACGACAATATACACACATTTTCATAGCTTCGTTTCTATCCAGAACAAAAGAAATTTAGTAATGACCCTCTGTTACAGGGTTAGAGCTATATGCTCTGAAGACGTGATTAAAAATGAACTGAGGATTGTATGTTATGCCTTGATTGAAAATAGCTGTCCCAACAGATTCGTCAGGAAACATATGACTTAGAAAGTTGAAAAGGGCTATTCACTGTCCGTAAACGAGAAGCCTTCATACACATGACTGCAATTCAAGAGTGATGTACCTAGTGAAATAATTACGAAGAAGTTAAGAAAATCAGTTCCAAGAACTTTTAATACTTGGAAATTACAAGTCTTATTTTCTACACGACTGGTTATGATTCCCAGTTGAATGATGAAGTACTTAGACTAGCCACTGCTAATTGTAAGATTTAATAATGTGAAATATTCCCACAGACTACAAATTTATTTTGACTAATCACCACCATTGTCTCCCATTTTACAATATTTTGTAATCGATTTCAGCCTAGCATGTTTGTCACACAAATACGACTATTTATTTTGACACCCCATAGCTACTAATCTGTTATTCTACGTTAAACAGTGTGTCCGCCGCATAATTAACTGGCCATTATTGTAACGGCAACAAATATTATATTTTATAATTGTAAGAACCCGAAGAGAAATTACTGAAAAGAATATTCTTCGTTCAGATTGACTCTTAATTCTAATTGTATCTACGACTTTAACTGCGCTTGTGATGAAGCGAGTTATATTGGGCGTTGCTCTAGGAACTTGATTTTTCGTGCTCGGCAACATCTACCTGTGTGGTTAAATAAAGGTATAGTAAGAAGCATCAATAGCTCGATATTAGACCGCCTTGTCTAAACCAGTCACAAAGCCAGCTAGCATTGAAGAATCGTTGTCTGTCATCTACCGGGTGCCAACCAAATAAATTGTCGAAAACATCCAAGTACCGCTTATTGCAAACAACAGAGGCTATTGCGATTCGCCTTAAACAACCAGTGCTTTGTGCAAAAGAAGCAAGTACAGCTACTACTACTACTGTCTTGACTGGCCTTCAATAGAGACTATAAATCCATGAATTTGTATTATTATCTCTCCTAATTTCTCTGTCTGATATTCAGTGTGTATTGTTATGTTGATGTAATCCACTGGAAATATTATTATTGATTCGATGTTATTTAAACAACATTAATGTTGTTCATAACAATAATTCATTCATTCACTATAATGTATATATATATATATATATATATATATATATATATATATATCTGTAGGACCTGATGCAAAGCAGGTTATCGGAAAGAATATTCTTTATTCAGTAACAATTTCTTTGAAAAATAAGTGGATATTCAAACCGATTAAATAATAAACAATTAAAAGTGAATTAGTCAGAACTGTAGAACAGCTACGAAAATGACAACAACTTGACAGCTATTTACTTTCACTTTGGGACTCTTCAGTAGGGTAGACCTTGACCTCACCATAGATTGAACCCTGAATCTTATGTTCATGAGACCGAGTGCACTGCTAGCTGTCTGGTTTGCAGGAATTTGACTAATTTCAAATTGAGGGACAAAATGGCTATCCAATCCTCCCTGGTGGCCAATGTTCTCTATAACTAATGTTGACTCAGGACGAAATCTTCACTAATGTAAATCCTTCCAATCTAAATGCAAGAATTTGTTCGTTTTTTCTGGTATTCATTATTTAATGAAGGAATATAATACACTTTGTGAGACGAACAACTCACCTCGTCTCTGTTTGGAATCCTTTTCAATTGAACCTGTACGATTTACTCTGGAAGCATTAAAGTCAGTTACAATAAGAATTGAATTCAATCCATTTCATCTGGGAGAATATCAGTGGGAACTTGTATTAATCTGTGATAATGGACAATTCTTTCCAGTAACATTCAAAGGTATCTTGTTTTGCCTATTATTCGTTGAATTATGCCAGTTAAGTCTATTTCAGATAGTTACACTATCAAATGAGTGACCCTGCTTCTCTGCTTTTCATCGACTATGATCAGAAATAACAGGAGAAGGCAAACAAACAGATAGGTGGTATTCATTATGGTTAAAAGTTGGGTTTTTTAGCCCTGCCGATAGAGTACCTGAATAGCAACTCAGAAGCCTGCGTTCGAGTCCGGTTACGACTTAGATTTTTATTTCATCTTTAATTATCCGTCATGACAAAAATAGGTATTCTTTATTCTCATTATTATTTTTGAGGATTTTTTTTAATGACGCTTATATGCCACAAATTTGACGTTAGTATTAATTAAATTATTGCTAGGCCCGGGATACTGCCCGGATTTTCAGATCAAAGCAAATGGTGGTGGTGGTCTCACGCCTTTAATTTGAAATCTGATCCACAAGGAAGTGGTACGGTGTCGGGAGGTTTTCTACGATGTTTGCTGCTGATCACAGCAGGCTGTTTTGCCGTAACATACTCTTAGATTGCTGAGCCTATGTACACCATAGGTTCGGAATCAGGATTTTTCAGCTCCGCTAGGTAGACCTGCATATCCGCCAGTGCAGTTGTTAGCGCCACTAGACGTTGGCATTCGCCCTTTCACTTTTGTGAGTAGTGCCCCTTGCTCCCCGAGCCTTTGAAATAGGATCTGATCCATGGGGCAGTGGAGCAGCGTCAGGACCTACGTTCAAATTGGATGATATTGGTATAATTGAGTAATCTCAGCTGCAGTGTTTACTTATGAAGATTTTATCGCCTTTCTAGACAACATCTTCAGTGCTAACTTCAGTATGAAGTGAGGTTCCATGACTCTCCATGTGTTTTCTTGTCTTAATGCTATCAGACGGTTGGAGGCGATCGGCAAAAAGCCTTGGACCTAGGTTTCGTGCTAGTTGGCATTCACCAGTCAGCAAGGCGAAACTGCGATCATCTTGAAGAATCTCATGTCCATTCTGAGATTCGAACCTGAGTCACCCAATCCTGCAGGCAGACAGAAACGTTATCGTTGAGCTTTTCAGGCTCGCGATTGACCTCCTGTAGGACTGTAGTGGATACTCTGATTGGACACTAGTAACTAGTGTGTTGTGTCCAGTTTTTTTTTTGGTGCAGACTGAATTCTATCAGTCAGCTTTGCAATGTGACCACCATTCTAGGTAGCCACAGCACACCTAGTTACTAGTGTCCAATCAAAATGCTCTCTGTCTTGCTGACTGTAAAGAGGTGATTTAATGCCACTAGAAATTTTCTTTACATGTATATAAAAGAATGTATACAGGGAATCTTTTGGTTGGGCGACAGGAGATATGGGCTATTAGCCGCCGGAAAACACCTATAACAGGACTATGAGCAATTAGATGACAAGGCATTCGACTACCTTAAGACGGTCATAGTTACATTTATGCATGTCAAATGAAGTGTAGCGACTTGAACTGCCGAAATTTTGTACAAAGTTCTATGTTGAAAATTCACTTGACTTCAGTGTTACTACTGATAATTTTCAAGTAGTAGGATTCATTTAAATCTTAAATTAAGTAATGTGGTTTACTTTTACCACATCTAATCCCTAATTATATTTTTTTTCTTCTATTTTATCCATCCAATGTTCAATAGGCTTTAGTGAGGAATTAAAATTAGAGATAACGGATATTACTAACGACAGTGTCAATAGTTCATTAAGAAAAATTCCAAGCGAGTCAAAGGAATTATTTTATTTTTATCAATTTCCAATACAATATCCGTTTACTGTTTCTCCGAAGGCAATCAAAATATCTAATTTCTGGTATGTAAATCAGAAAGTTTACCTGTTAGAGTAGATACACGTTGTCCTTTTCTTAACATCTGATGTATATATATATATATATATATATATATATATATTATTATAGGTTATTGTTAGCAGACAACAGTCTTCTGATTGGTTGTTTTCTCTCTGGAAGTTAATCTGCCATCTCTTTGTGGCCATTTATTTGAAGGTCAGACCATATATATATATATGCGAATCATATCCGCCCATACAAAGTCTGCTGTGATTGGTTGTTGAGCTCATGAAAGTTAGGCCTTCTTCTTGTTCTTTTCCCACAACCAAGATTTGGGATGTAAATATTGACGTTAATTGCTGTCTACCAATTTCGACTTGTTGCATACAACTTGTGTTTTGTTAAGATTTCACATTGGTGATTTATCCATTTACAAGAATTGACTGAAACTGCCTCTGTAAACTGTTTATTCGCTTTCCTTTTTTTCAAATAAAAGATGCCAATAATTCATATCAAACTTCAAACACAAGATTACTATCTGGAAGTATGGTAACTTTAAATGAGACATTACTCTACCAGACTAGAAACTGACTACTACATGTAAATGTTTTAGTGCATGTAACGAAACTTTGCCATCCTGAAATTTAGGTTCAAGTGTTAAGATTTGCATTTGAATTGGAGATAGTGGAACATCAGAATAATTGAACACGTATTTTTCTGAACATGTAGGAAAGACGGTTTCTTCGGTAACGGACTTTAGGCTTTGGTTTAGTTTCATTAAAACATCATCTGTTCTTTTCTTTGTAACCGTATTGGAGTAGTTTTCGAATGACGTTCTTTCTTCATCAGATAACTCACAGAGAACGTGGGAGTGTTTTTTTTTTTGAGATATTCTGCTCTAGCTCAGGTAGTCTCAATCGCACTGCATCGATGTGATTCAGAGTGTGTCGTTTCAGTGTACGTGAGTTAGGGAATATGTGATTTCGTCTGAGATGTTTCCTAAAATACTTTGGGATATTCATGTTTCTCGAAACAATTCTTCAAGAAGAAAATGTTTGCATTCGCCTCAGCAAGCTTAACGGCAAAACGTAGAAACTTGTTCAAACCCTTTACCGTCGAACGGTCCTTGCTTTTCTTCATATCACAGAATATACACATTGGATCATAGAAGTTATTAAGAAGACAATAGCAGCGAAGAAAATTTTCTTTTCGACGAAGTCATCGTCAACTAGGCTGTACATTCATGTATTTATAACAAATGGATGGGAAAGTTCTAGAATAATTTCCGGTTAAGGTTCAAATTATTAAAATTACAATTAGGAATTAAAATGCCATAATAAACAAGAGGATGCATCATCGATGCAGTGCGATTGAGACTACCTGAGCTAGACCAGTATCTCAAAAAAAACAACACTCCCACGTTCTCTGTGAGTTATCTGATGAAGAAAGAACGTCATTCGAAAACTACTCCAATACGGTTACAAAGAAAAGAACAGATGATGTTTTAATGAAACTAAACCAAAGCCTAAAGTCCGTTACCGAAGAAACTGTCTTTCCTGCATGTTCAGAAAAATACGTGTTCAATTATTCTGATGTTCCACTATCTCCAATTCAAATGCAAATCTTAACACTTGGACCTAAGTTTTGTGATGCAACGTCAGAAGTGAATGAACAGAACACGAAAGTTCAATCCTGAAATTATTTTGAGAAGCTTATAGACTTTAGAAAGTCTGTAATGTTAGTTGGTTGGTTGGTTGGTTGGTTGATAGTGACCAGTAGTGGAAACAAAGACGCGCTTTTCATCCTATTTGAGACCCGTCAGCTGGGTGTACTTGCATCCCCACTAACTGTTGTTGTTATTTCACCCATTGTTTTAAACTTTGGAGCCTACTTCACTTGATTCTTCTATCACAAGAGCCACTCCTTATGCAATGGGCATCCATTGTTATTTGTTCAAGTTATTTATTTTTTTATTTATTTTTGATGACAGCTTGATTTCATACTGTATTTTTGGTACAAGTATGGAATTTTCAGCATGGATATCGGTAGCCCAAATTTTGCAGGCCGACCATAGATATCAGGTGTGCGTCGGCAGCGCATCGAACCCCGGACCATGTGCATGGTCAACGAGAGTCCTAACCACTGATTAGTTGGTTGATTACAGTGAATCCAAATCCTCTTTCTCTGATAATATCTCGGCTCCTTGTATGGAAGCTTTGAAAACGCTTCACGATGAACACAGTATTATTTGTTTAATGTTTAATTGTTTTATATTTTTCTATAAATGTTCAAACTGCTCATTATTTAAAGTAAATTGAAAATCCCCATAGAAACGCCTAGAAAACGATCCATTTCCCATTAACGTATATAAGCTAACATAACGTATTTTCTTAAAGACTAATACATCATTTCACTAGTTAAGTGGTGATGTCTGTTTCGTCCTAGTTTGGTACTCTTCATCAGTACTCATGCATCACACGGGGTTCGAAGCCAGGACCTTTAAGTTTCAAGGTGAGTTCGTAGACCACTAAGCCGCTGAGACACGATCCATGGCCAGACCATGAATTCTAACTTTTGCTAAATCATGACATAGGGCGACCACTAGCCAATGTCATCGGTGGTGATTATTTGTTCCCACACTCAACTTGCTGTACCACACTGGTAATGACTTCTGTGCGTCGGTGGCATAGTGGTTAGGACTCTCGCCGACCATGCACATGGTCCGGGGTTCGATGCCCTGCCGACGCACACCTGATATCTATGGTCGGCCTGCAAAATTTGAGCTACCGATATCCGTGATGAAAATTCCATACTTGTACCGAAAATACGGTGTGGCATCAAGCTGTAATCAGAAATCGAAATAAATAAACTAGAACCCAGGTAACTATTTACTTGAATAGGGTCAGTCTCGGAAGTCGAACCCAGTGGCTTAATGGTCTATGAGCTCGACCTTGCAGCTTGAGAGGCCCGGGTTTGATCTCTGATGGAGTCGTGAAGAGCCTCGGATCAGGAATGCATAGCTATCCAGTACTCCCCAGGTTTCGGTGATTCTCTTGATGAAGTCATTTTGTGAGCTAACTTGCAGTTTGTAGACTTTAACGGGAAGATATTGTTCAATCAGTAGTTTATGAGATAATAATAATAATAATCAGGGAGAGTGGATGAATGAATTTATTAACAATTATGGACGACACAAAGAGGTCAACTGCATTATTTAAAAATAATAATAATAATGACAATAATAACAATTTTACTTTGATTGGAAACCTGTTAGTAACTAGTTTAATGTCTCTACTCTTTTGTTTGGTGCAGAGTAAACTCTGTCAGTCAACTTTGCAATGTGGTCACCATTCTAGGTAGCTCACCATCACGATACACTTTGAACTGTTAATATTAGATGTTTGGAAGCAATCGGCGGGAAGCCTTGCTTGACCTAGGTTTTGTGATGATTGACACTCGTCAGGAAGTGCATCATGGTGACGAGTCACTTATTAAAATAATGGCCACATTGCCAGCCTAACTGACAGCATTCAGTCTGCATCAAACAAAGGGATAGACACTTCACACTAATTACTGATTAGTTTCCAATCAAAGTATCCAAAACTGTCCTACAGGAGGTCGATCGCAAGCCAGCCCGAATAGCTCAGTGGTAACCTGTCTGACTGGAGCACTCACTGGGTGACGCGGATTTGAATCTCACAAGGAACATGAGTTTCTTCAAGGTTGCAAACACGGCTCGCTGATGAGTACTGACGTGTACGAAACCTAAGTTCAAGGCTTCCTGTGACCAACTGCCCCAACCATCTGATATCAACAATAGCAGTTTCATTTGACAGTTGCAGTGATAGAGGTAAACGTCAATTGTAACATTCAGCGCATGTTATGAAGGTGAACACGGTAATGAAAGTTGTGCAAAGAATTTCTTTTGAAAGCACAGTTCAAGTATATTCCAAAGAGTTCCGGTGAAAGTCTGAACTTATAGGTCATACGACAGGTAAAATGAAATGTTATAAACCACTTTGGAAACTCTATTAATGTCAACTTGATGTGCTCAATTGATTATCTTTTAAAACTTTATTTGTTTTTTTGTATTTTATTGATTGAACATTGAATCACACAGTTCACAATCACTACGTTTTCAATGGGTTCAACAAAATCCAATTGATCAAATCTATTGTACAGAATATACCTCGGACAGTTTGATTAAAAGTGATGACATGTTAAATCAACGAAAATCGTTAACTACAAGTTTGACAACAACTCCAGATGTACAGAATCATGAAAATCTCCCTTTGTTATTCACAATTCATCCAACAACTGGAGTGTTTGAATCGAATGAAACGAAGTCATTTGAAATTCGTTTTAATCCAACCGAGGTAATGTGCTCCATAATAAATACAACTGTTACATCTTTTTTATGGGGAATTTCATGTTGTTTAGTAAATCTGCTCAGAATTTTGTGTAGCAAACTGCCAGCTTTCGTCAAAATCTGCCTCCTTTCCTCTCGATAATGAAGACCAGATGGTTGGCCACAAAGGACGAGAGAAATAGAACCTGTTGGCTATCAAATATGCAGGAGGCAATGGAGATAGATGGGGCACACGCTGTCAAGTGGAACCTAAATAGGAAGCTGCAGAGGAGACAGTATGAGGGGGAGATGAAGGGTTATAGACAAGCGTAGAGCCAATTAAAAAAGGCTTCAGGGGACATAATAAAATTGAAAATCTTAGGAGATAGTATAATAATAAACCCTTTTGCTGATTAGCATGATGAATGGTCATCGCCAATCAGTTTAACCGAAATCGGAACTGAGTAACATAACAAACTGTCTGCAGTGGATCAGGTGACTTGCACACGATTTTTATCAATCTTAAATTGTTGGAGGCAGTTAACGGAAAGTTGATAGAACCTAGGTTTCGTTCCTCTTGTAACTCGTGAAGCCTGAAGGAAAACGATATCTCCTTATGTGACTTGTACCTGTGTTGCTTACTGTTTTAAGTCAGAGATACTACCACCGAGCTATTCAGAAGCACGATTTACCTCCTGTAAGACTGCGGAAAGCAAACTAACAGTCTTTGAGAAGTAAGCATTTTCATGCATCTAATTTCCAGTGGTTCTGATAGATAGAAAGGTATCAGTCATTTTTCAGTGTAATCACTGATCCAGGAGATTCCAACACGGTGTATTTTTAGAACTAACGCCAACTTCTTCCAACTATCTAACATTTTATCACTATGACTACTCATCACCCTGTAAGCTGACTGAAAGAATTTAGTGAAAATAACTTTACATAATTTGTGCTAATCGCATAATAAGAAGACATCTTGAAAATTAAGGAACATCGATAGTTCTAAAGGGTTGTCTATTTATTCATGATTCTATGCATTATCATGAGGTCTTTCAAAGTCTAGGTGAGCATTCAGTAATTCAATTCAAATTCAATAATCGAACTTCATTTCATTTCCCACCATTATACAATACCAATTGTAAGAAGTACCTGTCGTCGCTTTTAACTTCTGTACCGTGACAGAACACAGGTTGTCTTTAGGACTTTAGACAGTCTACTGCACAATCAATGACAGATGAGAGATGATTTATGACTATCATTCCCTTGGGTTCCGAGTGGGACATAGGGCCTCAACAACACATCTTCACTTTCTTCAATTTTCTGCTATCCTCTTCAGCTGGATTCATAATAATAATTTTCCACTGGTGAGTTTTAGGGCTCTCTACAATTTGAGGGGCGGCATGCGAATACACCCGGTGGTTGCCCATAATCTCTCATCTCCTCCTCGCACTGCCTCTTCCGTGTCAGCCTCTCACCGACGACCCACTCGTCGCTTGCCATTTGGATTCCACAGGAGTAATGGCCTGCATTGCGTGCGATGTCATTCGACGGCCTCCACAGTGAACGCCCGATCCATCTCCATTTTATCCTTCATATTGACTGAGTAATCGGGTCTCGGTCGGTTCGCTCATTGACAGAGTTTCTTGTTGCTAATTGTTTCTGACCGACTGGCTGACCATTTATTCTTGAATATGAAGCCAGCGAAGGTTCCAACTGTTGATAATTGTCTGTACCTTGTTGGAAAGTCTTTTCTTGACATAACAACTGACTATTATAACTTCATTCTTTTATAATAACATAACGTAGCAGTACCTACACTCTATTATTCAATTACTTTATATTATGATTATTTTTTCAAACATTTTTTCAGATTGGAACATTTAGATCTCAACTTGAAATGATTTTGCTCAATGTGCCAGAAGTGGACGAAAGCAACGCATGCTGTTATAAATTGGATAAAAAACATTTAACTATGGAATTAAAAGGTGTTGCCGAGTCTTTACCCATATCAATTGAACCGTCAATTTTAATTATACCTGGAAAGTGCCTACTTGATGTTCCTTTGCATAAACTATTCAAGTATGTCTTCACCTTACTATGGAGTTTATGCTACTGTAAACGAAAATTATATGCATATTCCTGTTTAGGTGATATTTTGTGCACAAGTCACTGCCTTCCTGGATGAGTACGGTTTGCTGAGGATCATATCGGCTAGAAAATACTTTAAAGTGGTTAGATCACGATACGTTAGCAGCCTATAAAGTTATTGTCTATCGGTCTGAGCCATATGATTTGAGAGTGTGAATTATTCCCATTTTATGAATTAAAAGTTAATCTGAACGAAGAATATTCTTTTTCAATAATTTCTCCTCTTCAGGTTCTTACAATTATAAAATATAATATTTGTGGTTGTTACAATAATGGCCAGTTAATTATGCGGCGGATACGTTTTTAACGTAGAATAACAAATTAGTAGCTATGGGGTGTCAAAATAAATAGTCATATTTGTGTGACAAACGTGCTAGTTGGCTGAAATCGATTAGAAATATTGTAAAACGGGAGACGGTGGTGGTGATTAGTCATAATAGATTTGTAGAGTGTGGGGTAGGAAAATTGACAAATCAGTTCAAGGTTAGAGAAGGTGTCAGGTGAGTGGCTAGTACAAAGTGGTCTGAGTTTAACACGAGATAGTGAGACTGCAATGAGAGGCTTATGGTGAGATAACGAATATGTTAAATGAAACAGGTGGAGGCATATATTGAGAAAAGAGGTAATATGACTAATAATAAGTCCGTATAAATGAAAATTCGATGGTATCGATAGTATTTATTTTGACACCCAATAGCTACTAATCTGTTATTCTACGTTAAAAATGTCTCCGCCGGATAACTGGCTGGCCTTTATTGTAACGACCACAAATATTATATTTTACAATTGTAAGAACCTGAAGAGAAATTATTCAGCCATATGAGACAGAGTGTGGATTATCATTTCGGTCTCCTGAATTCCATATTAGTTTGTTTGTTAGATGCATCACACAGTGAGTGAAACAGTATTATTACTTACTGGATGACACAATTTCGAACACAATTTTTTATTGTTCATCATCATATCAATTATAATCACACAACTTGAAACTTCAGTCTTATAGTTTTCTTTGTTCTCCACCATTTTTCGTCGTTCGGGTAGTAGAATTTTCCAGATATCCAGGTGGACAGGTGTTCAATCATTCCTATCACACTTATTTGCAGTTGACTCGATAAACAAAGCTTCACTTATCAATCTCTGCCTCCACCGTGTGACATTAGATTTTAAAAGGGTCATCTTATCCCATCCTGTTGTATGGTTGTGTGTAAGTGCATATCATGAGTGGTATAGCTGAACTAGATTTCTCTAGATTTCTTATCTCATTCAGGTTAACTAATCTAGATTTTGCTATGTTTTTATGTTCAGCTAGTCTGACTGCTCCTGTTCTACCAGTCTGACTTATGTATTTGACCTGACAATCATTCCAGGAGTCAGGGTATTAGATAAACTAAATTGTTTTATTTTATTGGCTCCACAGGATTGTTGCTTTAACCGATAAAGCTTGTTTCTAATTGAGTTTGGTTTGGTTGGTTTGAATTCCAGCCACTTTTATTCCTGCTTGTATTGCTAAGAATTCTGCATAAGGCGGTTTCTGAGGTTCCTTCCTTGTATGGAATTACTACTGATGATTTAGATTCCTTATGATTGGTGTTGAAGACAAAGAAAACTATAAAACTGAAGTTTCGAAGTCGTGTGATTATAATTGACGAGATGATTATGAACAATAACAGATTGTGTTCGAAACTGTGCCATCCAGTAAATAATCCTGTTTCACTCAGCGTGTGATACGTCTAATAAACAAACCAATATGGAATTACTTACTATCAAAGTACACAAGTTTTACGCATATATTAATAAGTCTACTGAAGTTTAAATGAAGGTCCATGGATGGACACTGCTTATGAGAAGGCTCAAGAATATAAGAATAAAGGTTGGGCACTGTAGTAGAGTAAAATTCTATTATAAAATAAATTCATTTGATGAAAGCTCACATTGATATAGCATCATTTACTGACGACGTTTTGAGTACAATTCGCTTCTGTTTGTTATCATATCATGGCACTCACATAGCATTCAAACTTCGTTTATATAAAAGTACATTGATTTCATTGATCCATATGAGGGAATTAGGAAGTCTATAGATACGGTAATCGATTGGATATGCTTAAGTGTAGATTGCTTGACTCCACAATGATACTGAATAGTTTGGGGAAAAATTCCGCAGTGGCTATGCATACATGTTAGAAACCGCTGTGAGTAGTAATTTAGCCTGCCACCTTCAAGTAACTTCTTACTTTAGTCAATCCAAAGGATAATTCACTGCTTCAAGCTGTTTTTAGGAAGCGATGAAAGAAGGCAAATCAAGGCATATTTGTCATTGATCACGATATTCAACTATTAATGATATTCATTAAGACATTAGAAAGAAGAGAACACGAAGTTCAGCAAAGATATCTGTCTTTTCAGCGATTTCACTTTCAAAAGCAACTGTACAATCGCATTTAAATAACATAATTTCACATAGATACAATATTTTTTTACTTGATTCCACATATTAACGAAGGCGAATGAAAGGTGACAATTATTTTCAACTAGATATGGTTTACGAGAGGCTTAGAAACAAAATTGCACACAAGATTAGAACGGATTACAAGTGTGTAAAAATGAGCATGGAAACAAATTGAAACAATAATTTTCAACCTGAGATGAGAGTTAGGCGGTGCGAACCTTAGAAACACAAAAATTGCACAGGATTAGGGTGTAATTGTAAATGGTTATTTTAAACGAATTATAAATGTGAGCAGGAAAAGCATGGAAACGAACTTAAAATAACTGTTCTTATAACGGAAAACAGAAATGGGATGAATTGAATGAAGACAGAGAGAATAAGAATCACACACACACAGAGCGAACGAAAACAAGATCAAATAGAAGGGAAAAAGAAGAAAGCGGGGGCTAAGGGACACATACCGAACTAGATCTATGGCGGTTGTAGAGATTGGAGCTGTGTGTTCTAAAGATATCTGTCCAACCTCTACAACTACCATGGGCCAAGTTCGGTACGTCCCTTAAGCCTCCGTTTTTTGTTTTGATTTTATTCTTCTCTGTGTGTGATTCTTACTCCCTCTGTCTTCATTCGATTCACCCCATTTTTTCAGTGATAAAATCAGTTATTTTTAGTTTGTTTCCATGCTTTTCCTTGTTCACATTTATAATTCGTTTAAAATAACTATTTTACAATTACACCCTAATCCTGTGCAATTTTTGTGCTTTTAAGGCTCTTGTAATCCATATTCACACCTCCTGACTTCCATCTCAAGTTGAAAATTATTATTTCAATTTTGTTTCCACGCTCATTTCTATACACCTGTAATTCGCTATAATCCCGTGTAATTTTGTGTTCTAAGCCTCTCCTTGTAAACCATATCTAGTTGAAAATATTTGTCATCTTTTATTCACCATCGTTATTATGTGTAATCAAACAAGAATTGTATCCATGTAAAATTGTGTGTTTACATACGATTGTACAGTTGCTTTTGAAAATGAAATTGCTGAAAAGACAGATATCTGTTTGCTGAACTTTGTCTTCTCTTCTTTATAAACGATATCGTCTCATGTTCTTTCAAAGTTCATTCCAGCATCTGTAATACACATCAACAGTGCTAGACCAACATAACTATCCTTCACTGTATTATGCTTCTTCGTAGACAAACTGCTTAAATGGTTCAACCCAGGCTTGAATGTTATTTTTCCCTTCAGTTGTTTGATAAGATACACTTCAAAATTATTTCTATCCACTTTAAGCTGTCACATCTTATTCTCTTTGATCTCTGAATGAGTTTTCTTAGCTGCTTCAACATTAGAACCTGCTACTACAATGGGTTGTATTAAAATGTCATCACTACTTAACTAAGACAGGAAGTGAGGCATACAAAAAGAAGCTTTGAAACATAACAATCACCCTGATTAACTAATCAGGAAGTATGGACGGAAATGTAAAAATAAAATAAATAATGATAGTAGTCATAGTGATAATAATAATAATATTAATGATGACAGGCATGTCAAATATGTGCAAGACAACACCAACAATAAGGAATCTAAATCATCAGTAGTAATTCCATACAAGGAAGGAACCTCAGAAACCATCTTATGCAGAATTCTTAGCAATACAAGCAGGAATAAAAGTGGCTGGAATTCAAACCAACCACAAACTCAATTAGAAACAAGCTTTATCGGTTAAAGCAACAATCCTGTGGAGCCAATAAAACAAAACAATTTAGTTTATCTAATACCCTGTCTGCTGGAATGATTGTCAGGTCAAATACATAGGTCAAACTAGTAGAACAGGGGCAGTCAGACTAGCTGAACATAAAAACCCAGCAGCAGAATCTAGATTAGTTAACCTGAATGAGATAAGAAATCTAGAGAATAGTTTAGCTATACCATTCATTATATGCACTTACACACAACCATACAACAGGATGGGATAAGATGACCCTTTTAAAATCTAATGTCACACGGTGGAGGGAGAGATTGATAAGTGAAGCTTTGTTTACCGAATCAACTGCAAATACATGTAATAGAAATGATTGAACACCTGTCCACCTGGATATCTGGAAAATTCTACTACCCCAACGACGAAAAATGGTGGAGAACAAAGAAAACCATACGACTGAAGTTTCAAGTTGTGTGATTATAATTGATATGATGATGAACAATAAAAAATTGTGTTCGAAATTGTGTCATCCAGTAAGTAATAATACTGTTTCACTGACTGTGTGATACATCTAACAAACAAACTAATATGGAATTCAGGAGACCGAAATGATAATCCACACTGTGTCTCATATGGCTGAATAATTTCTCTTCAGGTTCTTACAATTGTAAAATATAATATTTGTGGTCGTTACAATAAAGGCCAGCCAGTTATCCGGCGGAGACAATTTTAACGTAGAAAATATGTAAGGAAACGTAAAAATAAAATAAATAATAATAATGACATGCATATCCAATATGCACAAGATAATGACAATACCAACAATAAGGAATCTAAATCATCAGTAGTAATTCCATACAAGGAAAGAACCTCGGAAATCTTACGCAGAATTCTTAACAATGCTGGCAGGAATAAAAGTGGCTGGTATTCAAACCCCGCACAAAGTCAATTAGAACCAAGCTTTGTCGGTTGATCAATCCTGTGGAGCCTTTAAAACAAAACAATTTAGTTTATCTAATACTCTGCCTGGAATTATTGCCAGGTCAAATACATAGGTCGGTGGCACAGCGGTTAGGACTCTCGCCGACCATGCATATGGTCCGAGGTTCGATCCCCTGCCGACGCGCACCTGATATCTATGGTCGGTCTGCAAAATCTGGGCTATCGATATCCATGCTGAAAATTCCATACTTGTACAGAAAATACAGTGTGGAATCAAGCTGTAATCAAAAATTAAAATTACATTAAATTAAAAATTAAATAAATTAGAACAGGGTCAGTCAGACTAGCTGAACATAAAATCTAGATTAGTAGACCCGAATAAGATAAGAATTCTCGAGAATAGTTAGGCTATAGCACTCACCACATGCAATCACACACAACTATACAATAGGATGGATGGGATAGGCTGAGAGTTTTAAAATCTAATGTCATAGGGTGGAGGGAGAGATTGGTAAGTGAAGCTTTGTTTACCGAATCAACTGCAAATACATGTAGTAGGAATGATTCAACACCTGTTCAGGCAGATATCTGAAAAATTCTACTACCCCAACGACGACAAATAGGAAAGAATAAAGAAAACTATACGACTGAAGTTTCAAAGTCTTGTGATTATAATTGGTATGATTATAAATCGCCATAAATTGTGTTCGAAACTGTGTCATGATATTTAAACCATTTCTCGATAAAGTCATAAGCGTTTCATAATGGAATACTCTGAGTTAGCATGCTAGTGTACTGTTTTCATTGCTTCCTTTGCCAGGTAAGTGTTCATGACTTCGGGAGTAATTTTAAACTGTATTGTAAATATAAGTTTCTTTTTAACCTCATTCTAATTTTATTTTTATTTCCCTTCTGAATATCTCTCATGTACGTACATACATACATACATAGCTGGTGAATAAATCTCACAACTGTCCAGTAGCATTTTATTGGAAGAGTGATTTTAATTGTAAAGCCGATTCCGCCTCATCAAATGATGGTTTAAGTCAATCTACAACGGATATGCGTCAATTGAATTTATCAAAATATTCCAGCCGAAGTAATGATATCGAGGAAGCTGTGGATAATTTAATTATTATAGAACCAACTATGGGTGTCATCGCACCAAGACAATCAATAAATATTGATATAATTCTGTCTTCATCAAAATCTTTAAACATAAAAGAAGATATTCCATGTTTTATTGATATCCTACCAAATTCCCCTTTATGGCTGCATATTGAAGCTGAATTCACGGTAAGTAGTCGTAGGTGTGTTATGTCTTTTGAAAATTGTTTAAAATCTCGGGAGTTGTAGCAGCTGTCGATGTACTTACGTGGTAGGACAGATGATGATAGGTTAGGCGTTAATCAAACTTACTTACTTCAGGTCAAGAAAACAATCAGTACCAATGCAAAATACAATACAATACTGAAAACTGTCAAATATATCCATTGATTCATAAAGAAAGCAAGCATCTTTTGAAGATGAACCTTGGTTGGGAAGAGATAAGCCTCTGTTGTTTGGTTTCTTCAACAGTTCCTTATTTTATTCAACACAAAAAGTTTACATAACTCAGGAAATCGAAATTGATGCTTCCAAGAAGTATAAAGGTTTCTTCAAATGAAATTACATTCCCACTGCTCTGTCCTTCGAAAGTAACATTTAATGAAGGGGCTATGTTAGATCCTCCGAACATGTATCAAGGAGCTTCCGGCTAAACGGGTCAAGGAGTTTAAACCCCTCAATTACCAAACACCTGATAGACACTGGACACCGAGCAGATGGACTGACACCTTTCTAAATAATTAAAAGACAAAACGGCTCAAGTCTTCTTCGATTTCCTGAAGCTATCGCAATAAAACTCTTGAAACCTGACTTATGTGTCCTAACGGAATCTGTTATTTAACTTCAATCATCCTGATGACTCATCCTTCAATAACTCTTTGTTTTCCAGCTCTAACTTCGTTTTAACTTGCTTTTACAACCCCCACTTTTCCATTCTCCATATAAGATAATTTTTCTTGACCTTATGATATCATATAATCATCTCTTCATTTGACCTCTGGCATACCAAATATTGATCTTGATGTGATGGAGAAGATTTGTAGCTCAGGTGGATGATTTTGATGTAGCTGTGTTCTCTGAGCTGGATCGTTGATTTGCGAAGCTCTCATTGCCATGCTAGGCAACATCCTCACCTCAGCGTATACCACTTCAATTTGTTGAAGTGAGCTTTTAGATTTCTCCTCAACGAGTTTAATAGTCATCTCTCCTGGTGACCTGACCTTGAATGTGATTCCTTTTTTTTGTGTGTTTTCACACCCTCTAGGCTAATGGTACAAAAAAAGTTGCAAAGATTGTGAAAAACACTACAGTGGTCAAAGTGGACGACGTCCTCTTCGTCTTCGTATCCATGATCATGAACTGACTAGACGTCAAAAGACATGACACGCACTCTCTCACTCATATCGCCTCGCTGAATACAGACAACCACGGATATCAATTCGACTGGGACAACACCAAACCAACGTTCAAATATTAGACAGAGGAAAGAAACACCAAGAATGCCAGAGAATTGTTTTAGAAGGCTGGTGGTATTCCAGTCAATGGTCAATTTATAATAGACACACATTGACATAGACAAAATTGACCAGTCGATAAGAAGGAAATCTCATATACGAAAGGTCAAACTTCAGGTCAAGGAAACAATCAGTACTTGTGTCAATGCAAGTAACCGCCTAGAGGGTGAGTGAAAACATACAAAAACAACGAATCATATTCAAAGTCAGGTCACCAGGAGAAATGACTAATAAACTCGTGGAGAAATCTAAAACCTCACTTCATCAAATTGAAGTATACGCTAAAGATGCTGCCTAGTAGAGGGCAATGAAAGCTTCACAAATTAACCATTCAGCAGCTCAGAGAACACAACTACATCAAAATCATCCACTTAAGCTACAGATCTTTTCCATCATATCTAAAGTATAATACATAGAGACGTATAGAAGAAAGGATCAGTGTATGGATATTAATGAGGATTTAGTTCATCTGGGAGATTAGAAAGTACATCCGTGCCATTGAGAACAATTTTAAGCCGTGTCATCAACAGCCACCAGCAGCAGTTCCTTAGAGTCTCAAAAACCCCGACTAAATAAACCAATAAATCTAGTGCAGAGAATGACGGGAAAAAACACTTAATCTTCCTACCAAACCCATATTAACAATATTAAGTCGTTAATTGTGTTAGAATTAGCATCGACGTGATATACATGAACTAGTTAGTTCCCATGATGCCTGTAGCATAGATGGCACTGAAATTGAAACCAAGTCAAGTATTAAATACCTTGGATTAGTTCTTTCCTCTGACCTTTCATGGTCATCCCACATCTTATCATCAATCTCTAAGAAAATGTTTCGTCTTACCTTCTACATTAAAAAGTTAAGACAATCAGTTATCAACCAACCTTCACTTCTGCAAGTTGTAAACTCCTGTATTTTACCTATTGTACTCTATTGCTCTCCATTAATCTTTCCTGGGCTTCTCAAAAAAGACTATATCATGTTACGAAGAGTATTAAATGCTGTGAGTAGGGCTTTTGGTCTGCCACTGCGTGAGCTCGCTGATACTATAGTCGAGAAGGACATAAATTCCTGTACAAAATGGGCAAAGGCTATACTGTCAGACCCTCTGCACCCCCTTTATTCGCAACTATCCCCTTGTATCTCATCAGGTAGGACGAGAAGTCAATATAAAAAGTTATATGCTCGTACCACTAAGTACAGAAATTCTACAGTATCCTATTTAGCCCGTACTTTATGTGATGGAGACACTGTTAGACGTGAAACATATAAGAAGTTACTATGTAATTAGCAAAGTGAATCGGCACTTTCATCGTTCATCTTTCTATAATTTTATGGTGTCACACTTTCTATCGTTTAATTGTTACTCTGCTATTTTATTTTAGTTGTTATTACTATTATTACTACAATTTTATACTTTATGCATATTTTTCTCCGTATTGCATACTGTAATTTGCCACATAGCTGATGTAACAACGTTTTGTTATTATTATTATTATGTAATGTTTATCTTTTTGTCGTTTTGAGTAAATTAGATGCAATATTGTACTGAATGCTGAAAATTCCTCGCTGTATCATTAGTACTGTTTTTGGAATAAAGCAAAAAATTATTATTATTACTTTATATTTAGGATAGTATAACACCATACGCTTATATGAAACAATGCACTTGATAATACTGACATCGGCTTTTCATATCTGGAGAGTTAATATCACATGCGTCGGTGGCACAGAGGTTAGGACTGTTATGTACTCGTCGCTAAATTATTGTTATGGACTGGTCGAGAAATTAATAGTCCTGACGCAAGAAGGCGGAAATCAGAAGACCACTAGGTTTGCGATGATACTTCTATTGTCCAAACACAAGGAGACGAAAATAAATGGTCTCACACCAAAGTGGTAAGTAAGTAAAGTAGTTCACACAAATTGTGTGAGCGAAATATATATGACAAGGGTGTGAACAATCATTAGACAGTCTTAACATGAATGGCTAATTATAATGAAGTATCGATCAACATATACATAGCGAAATATAACAGACATGTCAACAATCACCATATATGGATATATGTCACCAAGCAACGGACTGTCAACAAACACTCATATTATATATAATATAATATAAGGAGAATATACATTGATAAAGGAGACAAGTTCATACAAGTGAAATGGTCACAGACTAAGCGAGCAAACAGAAAGAGAGACCAACATATACACACACACATAAATATATATGTGGATACATATCAAGGACTCTCACCGTCCATGCCCATGGTCCGAAGTTTCATCCCCTTCCGACGTACACCTGACATCTATGGTGGGCCTGCGAAATTTGGGCTACCGATATCACATGCTGAAAAATCCATACTTGTAGCAACAATACTGTGTGGAATAAAGCTGTAATCAAAAAACAAAAAAGGACGCTAATTTGACTACTTTAGAAGAACGATGCGTGCTAATAAACTTTTCGATGTATAAGTTAAATTCAGAATAAACCATTCTTGGTCTACTGAAATAGAACTACGTCATTTTGACAAGGATATTAAAGATTGTTAGTAGGACAAGTGGTGTGCAACTTTGTCAGTGAGCATGTTATTACATTAGTTGACAGACATCTAAACTCATGAAGGATATGGTCTAAATCTATATTAAGAACAAAATATTCAGCGAAGAGGGTCTTTTCAACAACGAATTTACTATCAAGCTATACAATCGTATATATATACTTGTGGTTTCTAAGAAATTATATCCGGTGAGGGAATTAGGTCAAAGGTGTGAATACATGAAATAATAACGGTAGTATGAAATGCAATTAAAATATTTGCGATTATAATCATATTTTAATGTCAGGTGGCAAAATAATTAATGTCTTATATAGAATAATACATAAGGTGTATAGATGTTGGAAAGGGGTATATAATTATAGGATTAGTAGGCAAATATAAAATGTTACATAATATTGTGTGAAATTTGATAAGATAGAATTCTGTATTATAGAATGGCAAGTGGGACAAGCGGAAACCATTCAGAGTGAGACTACTAACAATGATAACAATCGTAGTAATGAAGGAAAGGTACACAGAATAACTAAATAAACAAAAGACACAAATGAATAAATGTCTATCCCTCTATAGCCAAGGCAGAAGTTGGTAGTGTGCATACTTCTTTTGTACACAAAGGTGTGTCTGGTTTAAATTCATAAATGGCCAAGACCTCCTATGTCTTAAGAAGTCTATAACAAAGAAAACGTAGTCTGCAGGTCAGCATGGATTCGGTAGATGATCTTAAAACCATGGTTAAGATGTCTTGTTTGCATTCAACAACTTCCATTCTTCTTTAGAATTCACCATAGTAAAGGAATCTGAACTAAGCATTCCGTTTCTTAGACACAATAGTGTACCAAATGCTGAAAATTCCACACTGTAGCATTAGTACTGCTCTGGAATAAGGCACATTATTATTATTATTTTCAACTAAGATTCATTTGGCGTCGGTGGCACAGTGGTTAGGACTGTCGTCGACCATGCATATGGTCCGAGGTTCGATCCCTGCTGACGCGCACCTGATATCTATGGTCGGTCTGCAAAATCTGGGCTATCGATATCCATGCTGAAAATTCCATACTTGTACAAAAATACAGTGTGGAATCAAGCTGTAATCAAAAATTAAAAAAAAATAAAATAAAAAATGATGAGTTTTAAAAGGGTGGAATGCACGCACAAGCTTAGGATTCGGTATATAATTGATAATCATCTTTGATAACGGTACATTGTTCTATATTAAAGTTTATTTCTGATCACTGTTTTGCTTTTGTAGGAACCAGCCATTGCATTTGATAAACCCGATTGTAATTTTGGTCTCATGCGGCCGAATGAAACAGTTAAACAAAGCATTCTATTGACAAATACTTCACCTTCATCAAGAAAATGGCGCCTTGAAATGGATACAGTCAACAGTAAGGTAAATCATTTCATTTCAGTGTAATCAATGTAATATGGTTACCAAAGGAATGGGAGATGGACTACACTCTCTTTCCATGTGTGTAAGTTTGGTCTGAAACGTTTCATTTGCAATTGCTTCAGCAAATCGTAGTAGATTCGCTGTCCTTTGTATGTTTAATATTTTGAAGGATTTAGAAATCTCGACTAAATGACTCGTATCCACAAGGTGTGTCTGGTAACTGTACTTTGTAAATATCTGCTTCCTTTTAAGTGTAATTTTTTTCGGAATATGGTCTGAAAACCGGATAGAAGCCCTTCTCTCTGTCCTTCCGATGTATTTGCTGCCACAGATGCACATAAATTTATAAGTGCAGTTAAAGGTAACATCAGCAAGGTACTTGTCCAGTTTCAACTAGCTTATAAAGCATATAGTGCTGTATGGTGTCACCAGCCGCTTAGCCGCAAGGAAGCATCTTTTTATTGCTCCTTTCATCCTTTGGTAAATCTTTTGTGATACTACTTCTCCTTTGAATGGGAGGTAAATGAACACTTTCTTCTTTTAAACTGTTGGATACTTCGCTTTCTCGTATTTTTCTTCGCTGTACTTTAGGATAAATCCTATTGGACACCCGCTTTCTTTAAGGCATTTTTCAACAAAGCTTAATTCTTCTTCTACCTTGTTAGGCGAACATAACTTCCTGGCTCTGTCGTACAATGTCCTAACTAATCCCCGCTTATAGATTTTAGGACAGAAGCTGTTGTAGTGAAGGCATTGTTCAGTCCAAATTTCGATTTCTGTAGATGGACTTTTCAACCGTTCCATCGTTTCTTCTTTTTACATTTAGGTCCAGGAAATTAATTGAACTCTTCGTTATGTTCATATTCCTGGGTGAATTTAATGTTTGGATGGATCTCAATAAGGCGGTCAAATAATATGGATGCCTGACTCATATCGTTACAAACAACAAATGTATCATCGACATACCGCTGATGATTCATTGATAGTTTCACTCAGTCGCATCTGTTCGAGATAACCCATGAAGATATCGGATAGAATAGGTCCTAGAGGTGAACCCATGGTGATCCCATCAATTTATCGGTAGAATTGGTTGTTCAATTTGAGTTAGATGTTAGTTGGCGCTTCATCTACGTTTCCCGTAATGGCAATAGATCTGTTTGTTTACAAATGATGTCTATTGTTTCCATCACTAGTAAATTTGTAAATAAGGTAGCCACGTCGTATGAAACCATTGGTATATTTGATATATTAATATGGTCGACTTCTTTGAAAAATTGGAAGGTGTGAATTGAGATATTAGGTATAGTTTTTGTGACCAGTCTAACAAAGTAGAAATTCTCACATTAGTTCATGTTGCAGTACCAAAAACAGTTATTGTTATTATTATTGTATCCTTTAGTTCCTAGAGGAATATAGGGCTTCAGCTGCACACCTCCATTGCCTTCGGTTTTCTGACAACTTTTTCACCCTGCTCCAGGTCTGTCCACATGCTTTCATCTCCTCCTCGCATGACCTCCTCCAAGTCACCCTTGCACTGACGACCAACTCGCCGCCTCCCTTTCGGGTTCCACTCGAGGGCTTGTCTAGTGATGTCACTTGATGGTTTCCTCAGCGTATGGCCAATCCATCTCCATTTCTTCCTGCCTATTTGTTTCACAATCGGTTCCTGATTGGTTCGCTCCCAGAGATCCCTGTTTCTGATCTTTTCTGGCCGGCCATCTGATCTTGAGTAGTATTGAGCGAAGACAGCTGTTAATGAAGGTCTGAAGTTTGTTTGAGATGCTCTTTATGACTCGCTAAGTCTCTGATCCGTATAGTAAGTAGCACTGACTTCACATTGGAGTTGAAAATCCGGATCTTATTTTTGATGCTGAGTGCTATTGACCTCCACACAGTTAAAAGGAGATAAACTACAGTAGATGGATGTGTTATGAGGTTGTTTTCTTTGGGCTGGGTGATACAATTGCAAAGCTTTGATTACTCTTTTGTAGACAATGTGATATGGCTTAAAATTGTTCTCAATGGCGCAGATGTATCCACTCCTTGTGACTTATCCAGTGAACTATATGGTTCCTGATGATATTAGATAGTTGGAGGTAACCGACAGGAAGCCTTGGACCTAGGTTTCATGCTAGTTGGCACTCGTCAGCAAGTTGAATCTGCAACTACCTTGAAGGAAATCATGTCCCTTCTGAGATTCGAACCCAGTGCACAGTGCTGTAGTCAGAAACGTTACCACTGAGCTATTCAGGCTTCCGATTGACCTCCTGTAGAACTGTAGTGGGTATTTTCATTGGACACTAGTAACTAGTGTGACGTGTCTAGTCCTTTCCTTGGTGCAGGCTGAATTCTATCAGTCAGGTTTGCAATGTGGCCACCATTCTAGGTAGCTCTTTAGAATCTCTCTTTACTGTCTTCTCTTGCTTTTTGTGCTACATGGGGGGGGGAATGGCAACTCGAACTGCTGTACACGTGTGTAAAGTCCTATGTTGAAACCAATCAGTCAGCCAGACAGACACCGTCTTCAGTGCAGCTTCATTATTGAAGCTTGAAAATCATTCATCTGAGCCACAAATCTCTACCATTTCAAGATGGATGCGTGAACGGGGAAGATGCGCAATCCACATCTCCCTACATGGCTCAGGCTAGCAGTAAATAATTTCATAGGCGAATGACATATTTTTCTTTTGTTCACCTACAACTGTTTTCCAACCTTATTCTTCTTCAGTTAATACTCCTCATTAGGAATATTAGTTACTTGATGTGTATAGTGTATGTCCTATCCCAGGAGGTTGATATGTCCTTTTGCTGTACTGATTTCATGCTCCACCTAACGTAAGCAAAAATAAAGTACTGTATAGTAGCTATATAATTTAATGCTAAGATGATAAATATTGTGGCTTATTCCTTGATGTCACTCAGCATGAAAAATAAGATCCGGATTTTCAACTCTAATGTGAAGTCAGTGCTACTCACTATACGGATCAGAGACTTGGCCAGCGCGTCACGAAGAGCACCTTAAACAAACTACAGACCTTCATCAACAGCTGTCTTCGCTCAATACTCAAGATCAGATGGCTGGCCAGAAAAGATCAGCAACAGGGATCTCTGGCAATGAACGAATCAATCCAGCAGAACCAAATGTGCAACAAATAAGCAGGAAGAAATGGAGATAGATTGGCCACACTCTGAGAAAACCATCAAGTGACATCACAAGACAGGCCGTCAAGTGGAACTCATACGGGAAGCGGCGAGTTGGTCGTCAGTGTGAGGGTGACATGGAGAATGAGGTCATGTGAAGAGGAAATGAAAGCATTTGGGCAGACTTGGAGCCAGATGAAAACGTTGTTAGAGAATCAAACGCAATGGAGACGTGCAACTGAATCCCTATGTTTCTTTCGGAACTAAAGGAAGCAATAATATAATAATAATTCCTTGATGCCCAAGAGTTGGTGTTCAATGGTTTGATTGGATACAGCTTTATCACTAGCTAACATCAGTTAGAAAACTACTGGCAAACTAGTGAGTACTAGATAGCTGTTTCGTTCTAGTCTAGTACTCTTCAATGCTACGTACCCATGGTGGTTGGACCCAAGAACTTCTAGTGAAGAGGCGAGGTCGGATCCGATTCAACTGCCAATGAAACTTAACTCCTGCTAGTTCATGATTTATCAAGACACTGCCAACCAGTGTCACTGACAACTAACTCTCGAGTTTACATACAGTCGCTAATGAGCATCAGATTAGTTTTCAAGTGTTAGTTTGAAAGGATTTAATTGGTTACAGCTTTGATCACAACAGTTCAACAATAAAGTCGTATTTGAATGCTGTTTCAAATGTTTGTAAATGTTAGTATGCCCTATTGACAGCAACTAACAAGCACAAAGTTTCAGGATTTCATCACGAGTTGACATTGGTTAGAGAACCGTTGAAAAAGCTGGTAGTACTGGACAGCTGTTTCGCCCTAGTTCGAGACTCATCAACTGTACGCACCCAATTGGGTTCGAACCCAGGTTCTCTAACCAATGTCAGCTCATGATGAAATCCTGTAACCAGTCAAATTCCTTACAAACCAACACTTGACGCACAAGGTTTGTTGTCGATCAAATTATACCATTAGAAACTATATATTCAATGATACTCTGTTTGAATTCTTAACTGACAGTGTAGAGGTGTATAACAGTAGTAGACTTTTACTCACTTTAATCTTTTCCAACATAAAGTGCTTGATTGTTTTCCTATACAACATTTCCTTCAGGTTCATAAAGATAGGATTTAGGATGTTATATCTAACTCAAACCAGAATGAATAATTTTCGTTCATTCGAAGTAGATTGGTTAAAAACAGCTTATTTAAAACATCACTTAAATAGAAAGCTGGAATATTTATGAAAAAAAACATTTGAAAAAGGCAACCTTAGAAATGTTTATTTTTAAGAGTACATAATTTATATTAGCTTTTCATTCTATTTTTTCAGTTTGCATCAGAAATGAAAATCCATCCATCTTGTGGAATTTTGAAACCAGTTCAATCGATTACTGTAAATTTATCATTTACACCAGAAATGGTAAGAAGTGTTCGTGAAGTGATTACAGTGCACACAGAAGAAAGTGAAGAAATAAGGCAAGTATTATTCTGGTTGCATTATTATGATTTGAACAAAGCAAGAGAACTACAGTTTTAGCAGAATAAAATGGTACCATCTTTTATTTCGTTGCCTTCTCGTCAGCTGCTTACATGGCAAAGACATTATTATTATTATTTCCTTTGGTTCTGAGTGGAGCACCAACACATATCCACTTTGTTCTATCTTCTACCGTCCTTTTCAGCTGGATCCACGACTGATCAATTTCTCTCATCCTCCACCTTGCCACACTACCTCCTCCATGCCAACCTCGCACTGATGACTCACTCATTGCTTCCCATTTGGATTCCAATCAATCGATGGCCTGGCCTGCAATGTCATTCAGTGGCCTCCTCAATGTATGCCCCAAATCATCTTCATTTTCTCCTACATATTTGTTGAGCGATCGGCTCTTGCTTGTTGATTTCTTGTTGCTTATTCTTTCTAACCGATTGGCTGGCCATTTAATCTTGAGCATGGAGACAACGAAATGGGCAGCTGTTGATGAAAGTCTGTAACCTGTTTGAAAATGATTTTCGTGACACAGTGCAAGTTTCTGACCAGTATAGAAGAACTTACCAACTTCATATTGGTGTTAAAAATGTGAACCTTTTTCTTTATGCTGATTGTGTGCAGAAGATTTTAAAACTCGTTTGGAACTGATGACGGAGTATCTTGCCTTTCCGATTCTGGCTGGTCTGGCTGGCTGGCTGGCTTTGACATCGTCATCCATTCCAGCTGTGGTTGAAGCGATGCTTCCTAGATAAGTGGAGAAAGGAAGTAACCTTTGTTAAATATCTCCCGTTGATGGCGATCGATGCTCACTATTGTTGCTGTTGCTTGGTTGGGTATCTTCATCACTGTCTTCTCTGTGCTCACATGAAGTCTTGTTTTCTCCGCCTCTTCATCCAGTTTATTGGTTTTCGATGTGGTTTTGTTCTCTGAACTGGATGGTTAGTTTGCGAAGCTTTCATCACCCTACTAGGTGACATCTTCAGCGCATACTCCACTTTGGCCAAGTGGACGTCCCCTTCATCTTCGTATCCATGAACATAAGCTAGCCGTCAAAAGACATGATATCCACTCCATCACTCATTTCCCTACATACAGACAACCACGGACATCAATTCGACTGGGACAACGTTCAAATATTAGACAAAGGAAATAACAAGAATGCTAGAGAATTTTTAGAAGCCTGCGTGGCATTCCAGTGGATCATCAATCAATAGACACATCGAGATAGACAAAATTTATCAACCAATAAGAAAGAAATTTCACACACAAAGGGTCAAAGTTCAAGTCAAAGAAACAACCGGTTCCAATACAAGTAACCTAGAAGGTGTGAAACCAATCACGTCCAAGGTCACCCACCAGGCGAGATGATTAATAAACTCGTGGAGAAATCTAAAAGCTCACTTCAAGTGATTCAAGTATGCGCTGAAGATGTCACCCAGTAAGGTGATGAAAGCTTCACAAACTAACCATCCAGCTCAGAGAACAAAACCACATCAAAATCATCCACCTGAGCTACAAATCTTCTCTGTTATTGGTTTTCGCTAGCAAGTCTTCAACTTTCTGTGACATCGAGCATAAATTATCCGCCTCGAAATCCAGATCTTCTAGAGTCTTCTTATCGGTCGTCCAAAGTATTCGTCTATTCTCGCTCCCCATGCATAGTGTGATAATTTGTAGTTGGCCTCGTCTTACTTTCCTATACGCTTCGAACACCTCGCTGAGTTTTCCGTTATGGATCACTTGATACGTGGCATTGTCATATAGCCAACTGTTGAATGAGGTTGACAAAGACTTGAGCACTGTACGACGTAGTGTTGAAGTATTTTCCAAATTACTTCTTGGTCAATGCTGTCTGCTGAATGCCTTTTTGAAGTCGATGAAGGAAGTTGAGGTAGACGTTTAACTGTCATTCTATGCTTTGTTCGATGACGATGCGTAGAGTTGCAATTTAATCAATACATGATTTGTCTTTCCTGAATCCAGCTTATTCCGGTGGGGCTGGCAGAGTTCTGTATCCAGTGCATCCTTTATTCTCACTAGGATGATGCAACTTAGTATTTTACTTGACGTGGACAAGAGCATTATTCCACGCCAGTTCTTGCACAGTCCCAAGTCGCCCTTCTTTAGCAGTTTGACGAGGTAGCCCTTCTTCCAATCAATAGGCAGCTTTCCTTCTTTCCAAACTTTTTGCAGTAATGGAGTAAGACGGTTAGCTGAATACTATTCTATGATCACTCCTTAATTATTACATGATTATTATTATTCCCTTGGGTCACGAATGAAACATAGGACTTCCGCAGCACAATACAACTTCACTCTGTTTTATGTTGCCTTTTTAATCGGATTCATAATTGTCCACAAGCCTTTTTATCCTCCCTGACACAGTCTCCTACATGTCGTCACTCTCATACGCATGTTCAACTCGGCGTCAGCTTGTATGATATATAGTACCACTAAAGTATCTCCTCAATGTATGTCCTAATCATCTCTATTTCTTACTATATATTCAGTAAGCGACAAGCTCCTGTCTGGTTCATCCCTAGCCAAAGCTTCTTGTTGCTTATCTTTTCTGGTAATCGGATCGTCAGTATTGAATGGAAGTCTGCAGCGGCCTGTTAGAAATGCTTTTTGGGATGCCAATGGCAAGTTTCGAAGCCAAATGGGAGCCATGACTTGACATTGGTGTTGAAAAACCCAAATCTTGTTCATTATTCTGAAGGTAATTGGTTTCTAAACTTCTTTTCTCGATCCTACCTTTGAAATCGTCATCCCTGCGGCTTGTATTTGGGACCACGCTACCTAAATAAGTGAAAAAACTGACATTCTCTAGATTTCTGGCATTGGTGCTAATTGGTGCTTGTTGCTGTTGTTGGCTAGCAATCTCCATAAGCTCTGTCATCTTTACAATCACTGGAAGTACCGTCTTAACTGCCTTCTACGTCTATATGCTGGTTTTAACCTATATATCTTCGATTTTGTGCAAAATTAGGCATTAATCGCCCTCGAAGTTCAAAATTTTCTAGTGTCATTTAGCCAGTTCAACTCACCTCTTACTCCCTGTCATATGATTGCGTCCACCTCAATGAGGTAAACCATCAGTGATAGTAGAAACTGTTGTCTTACTGCTCTCTTCACTTCAATGTCTTCTCTGAGCTTTCCATTGTGAATCACTAGATATACGGCATCGTCATCATAAAGCGGTTACGATTTTCACCATGATTTTCTTTGAAAACCTTAAATATTGAGATCACTCTGCATGATCTGCTTGAAACTCTAAACTACAAATGAAGAATGCAAACAAGAAAACAGTCAAAAATCAATCACTGATGCTTCCTAGCCAGTTGACCTTGACTTTGAGTGACTGTAAAATTGATTTTTAAAGTTAGAATGTCAGAGTATCTTTTTTGTGATGTAAATTCCTTCTATCTTATCAGAATTAATTAAATGGAACTTCAACGTTATTTTCACTTTTATTAGCAAACTACTGATATTAGCTGAAGTGCAAACACCATTAATCGATTTCGAACCAAATCATATTGATTATAATGAATGTTATTGGAATATACCAATCACTAAAGTAATTACAGTTACCAATTTAAATTTACTTGAATGCGATTTAGAATGGATCGATGTAAGTATTTGATGCAGTATTTAAACTTTCATTAATTTTAAAAGTATGGAGAATGAATAAATAATATTCTTTTCGATAACATCACCAGGTTCTACAGTTATATATGCATAATAGTAGTGAATGAACTGGTGTTATGGACAACATTAATGTTTCTGTTTAAATAACATCGAATCAATAATATTGATAGATTACATCTCAATAGCACCAACATAAAATAAGCAGAATTTCAGAAAAATTAGAAAAGATAATATTACAAATTCATGAATTTATAGTCTCTACTGAAGGCCGGCCAGGGCAGTAGTAATGGCTGGACTTGCTTCTTTTGCACACAAAGCACTAGATGAATCGCGATAGCCTCTGCAATTTGGAGTACGTGGTGCATCAGTGATGATACAGAAGGATTCTTCAATGCCATCTGGCTTTGTGGCCGGTCATTTTGGACCAGGTGTCTAATATCGAACTGATAATGGTTTTCACTACACCTTTACTTAGCCGTAGTGGGAGATGTTCCCGAACGAGCTCGAAAAATCAAGTTCCTAGAGCAACGGCCGATTTAACTCGCTCCACTACAAGCGTAGTTTAATTGGTAGATACAATTTGAAGTGACCAGCTAGTCTAGGTGCTTTATCTTTCAGTCGAGGTAGCCCCGTCGGTCGTGTAGAGAATAATAGGTGAAGTTCGCCAGCATTAAAAGTACTTTGAACTGATTTTCTTAATCTAAATCACCAGTAGCACTTCCGTACAAAGAATGAACCTCGAAAACCTTACGCGGAATTCTTAACAATACAAGCAGGAATAAAAGTGGCTGGAATTCAAACCAACCACAAACTCAATTAGAAACAAGCTTTGTCGGTTAAAGCAACAATCCTGTGGAGCCAATGAAACAAAACAATTTAGTTTATCTAATACCCTGTCTGCAATGATTGCCAGGTCAAATACAAAAAAGAAATACTAGTAGAACAGGGGCAGTCAGATTAGCCAAGCATAAAAACCCAGCAGCAGAATCTAGATTAGTTGACCTGAATGAGATAAGAAATCTAGAGAATAGTTCAGCTATACCACTCACTACATGCAGTTACACACAACCATAAAATAGGATGATGGGATAAAATGACAGTTCTAAAATCTAATGTAACTGGGTGGAGGGAGAGATTGATGACAGCCGAAGCTTTGTTTATTGAATCAACTGCAAATAAGTGTGATAGGAATGATTCTACGCCTGTCCCAGTTATGTGGAAAATTCTACTACCCCAACGACGACAAATAGGAGAGAACAAAGAAAACTATAAAACTGAAGTTTCGAAGTCGTGTGATTATAATTGATGAAATGATTATGAACCACGTTAAATTTTGTTCGAAACCTTGTCATCCAGTGAACAATAATACTGTTTCACCCACTGTGTGATACATCTAATAAACAAACTAATATGGAATTCACACATCTATAAAAAACAAAATAATGGAGAAAAGAATATCCTTTTCGATAATCTCCTCTTCTGCCTCCACAATTACATGTACATGTTTATATACTCAGTATATTCGAGAATAGTAGTCAATAACCATTCCAAGCAAAATACTAAGCCCCATCATCCTGGAGAGAATCAAACAAGCTCTGGATCAAAAACTTCGACCGGAACAGGCTGGATTCAGGAGGGAAAAATCATGTATTGATCAAATCGCCTCTCCACGGATCATCACTGAACAAATCTTGGAATGGCAGTCACCTCTCTATCTCAACTTCATCGACTTCGAGAAGGCCTTCGACAGCGTTGATCGAGAGGTCATATGGCAACTACTTCGCTACTACGGGGTCCCATCGACAATTATACATCTCATCCAACAGCTACACGACAATGCTGCATGCCATGTAATCCACAACGGGAAACTTACGGAAGCCTTCGAAGTGAGGACGGGAGTGAGGCAGGGCTGTCTACTATCACCAATGATCTTCCTGATTGCAATCGATTGGATAATGCGACAGACAATGGCAACAAACGAGGGAACAGACATAAAATGGACTGACACAAAAGACTTGGAGGATCTGGATTTCGCCGATGATATATGTCTGATTTCCCACAAACTGGAAGATATGCAAGTGAAAAGCAACAAGCTGGCAGAAGAAGCATCAAAGATAGGACTTCAAGTGAACATAGATAAAACAGAGGTGATGAAGATTCCTAGCCAACATCAACAACAGCAACAGACAACAATCAGCATAAATGGGAGGAACCTGAAGAAACAACCTCCTTTACCTACCTGGGAAGCATCGTTCAACTACAGGCGGAACTGACGAGGATATCAAAGCCAGAATCGGAAAAGCAAGACAAGCTTTCATTACTCTCAAATCTGTGTGGAGGTCAACAGCACTCAGCATCAAAAATAAGGTCCGGATTTTCAACTCCAATGTGAAGTCAGTGCTACTATACGGATCAGAGACTTGGCGAGTCATAAAGAGCATCTCAAACAAACTTCAGACCTTCATTAACAGCTGTCTTCGCTCAATACTCAAGATCAGATGGCCAGCCAGAAAAGATCAGCAACAGGGATCTCTGGGTGCGAACCAATCAGGAACCGATTGTGAAACAAATAGGCAGGAAGAAATGGAGATGGATTGGCCATACGCTGAGGAAACCATCAAGTGACATCACTAGACAAGCCCTCGAGTGGAACCCGAAAGGGAGGCGGCGAGTTGGTCGTCAGTGCAAGGGTGACTTGGCGGAAGTCATGCGGGGAGGAGATGAAAGCATGTGGACAGACCTGGAGCGGGATGAAAAAGTTGTCAGAAAACAGAAGGCAATAGAGATGCGCAGCTGAAGCCCTATGTTCCTCTAGGAACTAAAGGATACAATAATAATAATAACAACCATATTAGTGTTTTCTTTTAAATAATATTGATTTGTTAATCAAGATCACAATCGAATTACAGTTTATTAAAGATGCTTAAGTTATAATAATAATAAAAATATAATAGCAAACAGAATGTGAAATAAAATTAAGGAAGTTTTCACAACAAATTGAGGATTATTAGGTCTTAGATGGCCAGTGAGGTAAGGAAAGTGTTTGAACCAGCTTCTTTTTTAATAATAATAATAATAATAATAATAATAATAATGGTAAAGCTTTATTTAAGACAGTATGCAAATATACGGTACAAAGATTTTCAGCGTATTCATTTCAAAAGTACTTTTTTCTTCACACAGGATTCACATGTATAGTAATAATCTGAAGTATATCTTCATTTCGTTGAAGAATTGTACAGCGTTTACTTGGAAGCAAGTTAAATCATCGCGCAAGTTTATGTATAGGTCATTTGATATAACTAGACGACTAAAACAATGATAAATAAATCCAGATGAAATTAAGCATTTTGCAGGAAAGTAATTTCGGTAGCCAAATGATTTAAGCAGGCCGCCTTTGTGTTCTTCTTTTAGATACATAATTTAGGCTTCTTAATGTGGATTCCAATGGCCAGCCACCGCACTATGAGGTAGACGGACTCTTAAGGCAAAGTTAAGATTACTTGGTATGCGGTAAATTCAGATATCAGATTAAAGAAGTACTCTTAGTCAGGTTATTGTTATTAAGGTTATGAGTTTTGTAGGGATTAGAATTAATTTCAGTGCAGATCTAGTCATAAACACACACCAGTTAAGAAATTAGTGAAAATCAAAGAGAACTAACAATACAGCTGTTTCGTCCTAGTTTGGCACTCTTCACAAGTGTACCCCTACAACCTCACCTGGGGTTGAATCCAGGATTATCAGTTTACAACGACAGCTAGTTGACCACCATTTAGCCACTAGGTCTGAATCCTCTCACCCCTGGAGTTTGACCTGCGTCACTTTACAGCATAGCAACACTGCCAACTAATACCCTCGGGGGTGTGTGTGTAGTAAAACCATTAACAGTTCGATATTGGACCATCTGGTCCAAACTGACCCGCCAGAAAGCCAGCCAGCGTGGAAGAATCCTTCTCTATCATCATCTACCGGGTGTCTAATAAAATGCCGAAATCATCGAAGCACCACATGCTCTAAACAGTGAAAGCTATCGGAATTCGCGTGAAACAACCAGTGTTTTGTGTGCAGAAGAAGAAGCAAGTTCAGCCACTACTACTGCCTTGGCCGGCCTTCAGTAGAGACTATAAATTCATGAATTTGTATTATTATCTTTTCTAATTTTTCTGACATTCACTGTGTATTGTTATGTTGACGCTATAGAACTGTAATCCATTGATATTATTGATTCGATGTTATTTAAACAGCATTAATGTTGTTTATAACACTAACTCATTCATTCACTGTTATGTATATATAACTGTAGAAACTGATGAATAGCAGGTTATCGAAAAGAGTGAAATTGGTTATCCAGAAAAGTTTATTCATAAGAATATGAATCTAAAATCAAAGCAGCCTCAAGGTACCGACAGTTCCGATAAAAGCCTTATTCTTAGAAATGCAGTTCTTTGGGGACAACATCAGCGAGATACTAACACAATACCTTAAAAATGCGGTAAGAGGAGCATTACTGCTGCCGAATTACATTGTGTCTTCAAAACCATTCCCTTTTTGCGTTCGGGGAGTAAAACACACAAACTTCCTAATTTCGCCTCTTCCATGTGTGTATCTACCAATTTAACTGCTCCTGTGGAGTGAGCCAGTTATATGGGCCGTACAATTAGGCGTGTTTCTTGTCGAATTTTCGAACATCATCCTATGTGGTTAAGTAAAGGACAAACAAAGTCTATTTATAGCTCTGTTTCATCTCATCTGGTGGACACAGAACACAAGATTGATGTTAACAAGTTGGCTTTCAGAGTCATCTACCGCATATCAACAAATCTTAATTTTACCTTAATAGTTCGACTACTAAATATTGCTGAGACTGTTGGGATTCATATTAAGAAGCCTAATTTGTGCGTCTAAAAGAAGCTAGTTCAGACATTATCCTTACCGCTTGGCCATCTAGGTTTAAATGATCCTGAATTTTGTGGAATTTTCTTAATTTTAGTTGATATTCCATTTGCAACTATCTCTTTATTATTATAATTTAAGCATCTTTAATGAACTGTAATTCCATTGTGAGCATGCTTAACAAATCAATATTATTTAAAAGAAAACACTAATATTGTTATTGACTAGTAATCTAGAATATTCTATGTATATAAATATATGTACGTATAATTGTAGAGCAAGAAGAGGAAGAATTTATCGAAAAGGATATTCTTTGTGCTTAATCATTTTGTGTTTTATACATGTCTGAGTGAATATTTTTGCTATATTCTTTGTTCAGCAACCATTCTTTTGAAGATTATATTTTAATTTTCTACAATACATGAACCACTTTTTACCTAAGCCTGTTGGGAAAGATAAAGAATGGGTCACTGTGAATGTTACACCAAAGTCCTTTCGAATCACTGGTCAACAAAATCAAAAGTGTGAAGTTACCATATGTGCACGTAAACAGGTAATTAAGTTTCCTGTTTATTCATCATTATTTTTTCAGTTCTTTTTTTCAGTGAGCACTTGGTTACAGTTGATGAGTCTGTCTGTCTGGATTCAACATAGAACTTGGCACCGAAGTGCACCAGTTCGAGTTGTCACGTTCCAAATAGCACACAGAGGTAGACAAGAAGATGAGTGAAGAGAATCAATACAGTTTGACAAGTATAAGAGTGAAACAGAATGGGTAATGGTAGAAAGGAATATGAAAGATTACAGAGACTGAATACATCTGCGCCAGCCATTGACAACGATTTTGAGCCATGTCACCTATTGTCTCCAGCCATTGATTCCTAGAGTCCCGAGGCCCCAACCCGGGAGTCTGCATCTCCCTACCTGACTCAGTTTAACTGTCAAGGATTTCATGGATTGATGAGGCCATGTTTTTGTTTGGCCACCACTGGCTCTTTTCCAACCTTCACCTATATCAGCTAGCAATGCCCGTCGGGGGAGGCGGTGGTTAGGCATGCGCAGCACGTGACCTAGCCATCTTAGTCTATGTAACTTTATAGCCTCGTCGATTGATTTTCCCTCTTTGCCCAACACTCTACGCCTAACGTCAACATTACTTACCTTATTAAACCACCTAACGTGAGAAAGAGATCGCAGACATCTATGATCGAAAGCAGTCAACCTTTTCATGTCTTCAACGCGTATTGGCCATGTTTCAGAGCCATAGAGAAGGACGGAGCGAACTGCTGAGCAGTACACACGTCCCTTGGTTGATAACCGGATGTCACGCCTACGCCAGAGATGGTGTAAGTCAGCGAAAGCAGCTCGAGCTTTTCGGATCCGTGGTGAGATTTCATCGCCAATCAGTCCGTTGGTGCTGATACAACTTCCCAAATAGGTGAAGTGGTCAACATGTTCTATCACTTCACTCCCTATCACTAAGCTAGGAGTTGACGTGGTCCAGTCCTGTAGCAGCATCTTACATTTTGTAGGGGCGAATCGCATGCCAAACATACGGAGATTGCTGCTCAAGGTGTTCAGAAGACTCTGCATTTTGTCAGCATTCTCCCCTAACAGGACTATGTCATCTGCATATTCTAAGTCCATAAGACTATTCCCTGGTAACAAGTCGATTCCTGAGTCATTACGTTCAGTTAAGGATACTTCCATCAGTATATCTATGATGAAGTTAAACAGAAATGGGGAAAGTGGACATCCCTGTTGATGAGTACAATATATGCTACAATATTTATAAGATGCAACAAGCCCATGACATCGATTGTCTTTGAGTCGGAATATAGATCACATTGTTGAATTCGTGCTTTATTTAACTGACTGACTGACTGGTTTCAACATAAAACGTTGCACCGATGTGTAGCACTTCGAGTCGCCACACTTCACTCAGCACACAAAGCAAAAGAAAAAGAAAGTTAAAACAAATTCAAACTAGAGATAGTAAAGACAGATATGGGCAATCTTTTGATGCAGTTGTGTTCACTGAGCTGGATAGTTCATTTGAGAATCTTTCATCACCCTACTAGGCAACAACTTCACCTCAGCGCATACTACTTCGATTTGTCGAAGTTAGCTTTAGATTTCTGCACGAGTTTATTAGTTATTTCTCCTGGTGACCTGACTTTGAATATGATTCGTTGTTTTTGTATGCTTTCACTCACCCTCTAGCGGTTACTTGCATTGACACAAGTACTAATTGTTTACTTGACCTGAAGTTTGACCTTTCGTATATGAGATTTCCTTCTTATCGACTGGTCAATTTTGTAGATGACCATGTGTGTCTATTATTCATTGAAGATTCACTGGAATACCACCAGCCTTCTAAAACAATTCTCTGGTATCCTTGGTGTATTTCCTCTGTCTAATATTTGAACGTTGGTTTGGTGTTGTCCCAGTCGAATTGATATCCGTGGTTGTCTGTATTCAGCGAGGCGATATGAGTGAGTGAGTGGATGTCATATCTTTTGACATCTAGTAAGTTTATGATCATGGATACGAAGACGAAGCGGACGTCGTCCAGTTTGGCCACTGTAGTGTTTTTCATAATCGTGGTAACTTATTTTGTACCAGTAGCGTAGATGGTGTGAGAACACACAAAGACAACCAACCACATTCAAGGTCAAGTCGCCAGGAGAGATGACTAATAAACTCTTGGAGAAATTTAAAAGCTCACTTCGTTAAACTGAAGTATGCGCTGAGGTGAGGATGTTGCATAGTAGAGCAATGAAAGCTTCTCAAATAAACCATCCAGCTAGCTCAGCCCAGGACACAACTACATCAAAATCATCCACCTGAGCTACAAATCTTCTCCATCACATCAAGATCAATATTTGGTATGCAAGAGGTCAAATGAAGTGGTGATGATATTATATCATATGGTCGATAAGAATTTTCTTATATGAAGGTCAAATGGAAAAGTGGGGTTTGTGAAGACAGATTAAAACGAAATCAGAGTAAGAAAATAAAGAGTTATTAAAGGATGAGTCATCAGGGTAGCTGAAGTCGAATGACAGATTCCGTTAGGACACATAAGTCAGGTTTCAAGCGTTTTATTGTGATAGCTTCAGCAAATCGAAGACGACTTGAGCTGTTTTGTCTTTTGATAATTTTGAAAGATGTCAGTCCATCTGCTCGGTGTCCAGTGTCTATCAGGTGTTTGGTAACTGTAGAGCTTAAACTGCCTGATCCATTTAACCGGAAGCTCCTTGCTGCATGTTCGAAGGATTTGACATAGCCCATTCTTTGAATGTTACATTGGAAAAAAGAGGAGTGAGAATGTAATTTTATTTGAAAAATCTTTTATACCTTTTGGAAGCATCAACTTTGATTTCCTGAGTTACGTAAATCTTTTGTGTTGAATAAAATAAGGGATTGTAGTAGAAATCAAACAACGGAGGTTTATCTCTTCCGGCTAAGGTTCATCTCCAAAGATGCTTTCTTTATGAATTAATAGGTATACTTGGCAGTTTTCAATATTCATCTATGTTTTCACGAGTCTAACCACGGATTGATATCAGTTAGAGAACCATTGAAAAGCAGCACTTGAGTAGTGGACAGTTGTTTCGTTTTAGTTTGGGAATCATCATCACACCCACTGCCAGGGCTCGAACCCAGGACCTTCCGGTTACACTCAGGCATGCTCGTTCACTGTGCTGAAAATTCCACACCGTACCACAAGTACTGTTTCTGGAATAAAAGCGGAATTATTAAGTATACCATTCAGTCACTGGGAACTGACTCAATCGCCAATCCATGAAATCTAACGTCTACCGATCCGTGATTTAGCACGACATACACCAACTAATGCAATCGGTGAAAAATCCATTCTCACACACTTGACTGGATGACCCTCACTTCTCACAACTTCTCACCATAATTCCAGGTAACTCCGTGCTGCAGCAAGTCACTCTTAAAAACAAATTTAATCCTTACAAACCAACTCTTCAAAAATTTATCTATGTGTAACGACCAAATTTATTATGTTATGATCTGAACACAATAAACTGATCACTGCGTTTTACTGTATAGTTGAAAATCTTCGTTGAGATACTTGTCATCATGAAATGTCTGAACTCAGGGAATAGACGATTATTCTACAATGCTAACATCAAAACTTAAATTTACCTCAACTGTGCTGTGAGGTAGGCCAGCTAGCCATACGGGCAATGTAGGTTTCTAAATGTAGCCGGTCGGGTGTGAGGACAAATACTCGCCGAAGACATTGGCTAGCGGTTGCGCTATGTCGCGAATTAAAAGAAGTCAGGATTCAAGGACCATTGGATTGGGTCCCAGTGGCTTAGTGGTATACGAGCTCGCCTTGTAACCGGAAGGTCCTTGGTTCGAATCCCGGTGGGTGCGTACTGATGAAGAGTTCCAAACTAGTGGGACGAAACAGCTGACAGTCCAGTACTTCCAGTTGATTTCGCAATAGTTCTCTAACTCATAATGAAATCCTGAAAGCAATCAAATCCCTACAAACCATCACTTGAAAACAAGTACTGTAAGACAAAACTAGTTGACCAAAGTTCAACCGTAAAAGTTTCTTTAAAATCAAGGAGAATATTTCCAGCGAGATGGGATCAAAAACAGCTTTGTTGTCCACAAGATTCATACACCAAGGTTTCCCATAACCCGTCCCGAGTGAGAATCACATATATATTCACTCAAACAAACTCATGTCGTTAAACAACAAGTTGTCAGTATGCAGGCAGCGATAAGGAGAAGTATTACATTTAAAGATTAAACAAGGACAAAGGCAAATAATGCAGGTCAAAAATCAACATGTGCTATGCAAGTGTCAAATTAATGACATGCAGTCTGGGGGAAATATGTATAATAATTACGAAGTTACAGTGTTATACTGTATATACTATATAACAACACTGTGAGACTTTATCACAATAAACTTTACCTACAATGGAATTATACTCTACTAGAGTGCGCAAGTTCTATTCTTATATCAGTGACATAGTTAGTTGAAACGTATAAATTATTATTATTATTGTTCCCTTGGGTTCCAAGTGGAACATAGGGCTTCAACTGCTCGTCTCCACTTGCCACGTCTGTCTTCTACTGTACTTCTCACCTGCATCCATTTTAGTTCATACTGTTTCAACCAACTCCTCTTCACACGATCTCCTCCATGTCACTCACCCTTGCACTGACGTCCAACTTGCCGCTTCCCTCTCGGGTTCCACTCGAGCAATGGCCTGACGTGCGCGCGATGTCACCCAGCGGCCTCCTCAGCGAGTGTGTAATCTATCTCCACTTTCTCCTGCATATTTGTTGGTTGGCGATTGGTTTGTTCTTGTTTTGTTTGTTTCTTCCCATAGTTTTTTGTTGGTGATTCTTTCCGGTCTGGCCCATCTGATCTTCAGTAAAGACACCCAGCGAAGACAGTTGCTGGTTGATGAAGGTCTGCAACAGGCTGTTGGTGGAAATATTCTTTGTGACCCGCCCGCAGAGTTTCTCATCCGTATAGAAGAACTGACTGACTTGACCACGTCTGTATTGAAAATCCGACTGAATTTTGTTGTTGATGCTGGCTGAGGGACAAAGATTTCCAGATTGGTTTCAGGTTGATGATGAATGTGTTTCTCGCTCGCCTTCCTGATTCTCGATTCTCTCGACATCCTTGTCCGTTCCGACTTCCTGTATTTGAGACAATGCTCAATGCTAGATAAGTGAGTGAATGAAGTGTAACAACAGAAGACAAGGGCCAGGCAACAGATCGTTTTATTATCAAAATCAACACGTATTTATACATATTTCACATACATTATTATAGCTTATGCAAGTAGACAAGCGCAGTTATCTGATTGGTTGTTTATCAGAAGTTAGGCAAACAAACGCAGGCTTCTGATTGGTTGCTTCGGGATTCCTCGAAAAATAGAGTTCTCTATCTGCGAATCATATTTTGCCACGTTAACTTTGCTGTGATTGGTTGTTGAATCAGCCTTGCTCATATTTTCTCACGGCCTGCTCTCACCACAGAAGTAACCTCTTTCGAATCCGTCCCGTTGATGATGATTGACGCTGGGTGTTGCTGTTGTTGTGGATGGTTGGTTATTTTCATAACCCCCCATCTTGTCCATGTTCACTTGGTGTCCTATCTTCGCCGGCTGCTTCTTCGACCAGTTTTTTTCGGTTGGTTTTCGCTTGAAAGTCTTCGATTTCGTGTGACATCAAGCATAAATCATCCGTGAAATCCAGGTCTTTTAGGTTCTTCACGTTGGCGCAGGATATCTCTGTCTGCTCGTTTCCCACTCACTGTCTGACGCATAATCCAGTCCACCACGTATAAATACGTACAAATATTATAAACAGATCACCCAGTAGGGATTTTCCATGCAATTAGTCTATTACAATGGAAAATTTTACGCTTACTGAATCTAAAAATTTACATACGGTCTTGTTATCTTTACCAATCGACAAACTTTACAACATAAAAAATACCTCATGCTGAGAAACGATAATTAAGTTGTTATGTAGAAGCTGATATTTTGTAAATTCTGATTTAATATTCCTACTTTGATAAAGCTGTTAGCAGCATTAAATAGTGAAACATCAGTAAACACAACAATATCGTTTTGCTTTCAATTCATTGGGAAATACAAAAAATTTTATAATAATGAACAATATCACATTATTAGCATAAAGTTATCGAAAACTTTTCTGGAGAATTACGAAAGTCAGAATATTAATATTCCGTTTGCCTTATTAAGTGAGACTTAAATTCCACATCAATTTGTTCATTGGATACATTACACCCAGTGAAACAGTATCACTTACCGAATGACACTTTGAACACCATTCAGTCTGCTGTAAACGAAAGACTAGACGCATGATATTAGTTACCACTTAGTGTACAATCAAGGTATCAATTACAGTCCTACGATAGGCAACTAGTAACGCCTGTGACTGCAGCACAGGGCGACTCGGATTCGAATCTCGGAAGGGACATGAGTTGCTACAAGATTCCGGACAGGCCTCTCTGATGAATGCCAACAGGCACAAAACCTAGGTTCAAGGTTTCCTGCCGACTGACTGCCTCCATCCATTTAATGGCAACATTTCAGACAGAACTGTGATGGCTAGCCACCAGGCATAGTAGTCACACTGGAACGTTCTCTGATGAAATTCGGTCTGCGTCAAACAAAGGACTAAGCTCATGACACTAGTTAGTACCTAGTGCCCAATCAAAATAATCATGCCAAGTTTTAAATAGTCTAAAATAACAGGACAGGATTTTTCTGGAAGGCATTATGCAATAATCAACAACAACAACAAGAACAAGAATTGATAAAGTATTCGTTCCATCATTGTGAATGAATTGGAGAATGTTTGCCAATCACTTCAATCTGTTTACTTTCAGCATGGACCTAAACGGGAAGACATAACAATGTGGATGGTATCAGTAAAATCAATGTCCAAGCAACGATACACTATTAATGATGGAACCATATGGTCAAAGGAAAACATTTCAACATTATTAATTTTCTGTTTTATCACCACATTTAAAACTAATTTACACATTTAACTAATTTCTTCGATTCAAAATTACGCAACAAGAAATGTAATAGCTATTTTGTATTAGAAAGACTAACAGATGTAAAGCAACAAACTGGCGGATGAGGCAAGCAACGAAGACAGGACTACAGGTGAACATGTGGTGAGGGCAGGCCGTGAGAAAATATGAGCAAGGCTGATTCAACAACCAATCACAGCAAAGTTAACGTGGCAAAATATGATTCGCAGATAGAGAACTCTATTTGTCGAGGAATCTCGAAACAACCAATCAGAAGCCTGCGTTTGTCTGTCTTACTTCTGATAAACAACCAATCAGATAACTGCGCTTGTCTACTTGCATAAGCTATAATAATGTATGTGAAATATGTATAAATACGTGTTGATTTTGATAATAAAACGATCTGTTGCCTGGCCCTTGTCTTCTGTTGTTACAAACATAGAGTTGATGGAATTGATGAAGATAACCAACGAACCGCAGCAGCAGCAGCAGCAGCAACAACAACAAGAACCAGTCGCAATCAGCGGAAGAGATTTGACAAAGGTTACTACCTTCACTTATCGAGGAAGCATCGTTTCAACAACAGACAGTCAGAACGGGTGAAATTGTCAAAGCCAGTCGAGATCAAAAAGGCAAGATATACGCCTCCATCGACCTGAAACCAATTTGGACCAATTTGTGCACTCAGCCAACATAAGGAAAAAGATTCGCATTTTCAATACCAATGCCTAGTCGGTCACTGCTTTTATGCGGGGTGAGAACCTTGTACTGCAGGTCACGAAAAGCATTTCCGACAGGTTGGAGACTTTCATCAACAGCTGCCCACTTTTCTGGCTGGCTCCATACTGAAGATCAAATCGCCAGCTGGTCAGAAATAATTAGTAACAAGAAACTCTGGCTGGCAATAAACCAACAAACAAGAGCCAATTGATCAACAGTTATGTAGAAGACAATAGAGATGGATCGAGCATATGTTGTTGTTGAGGAGGCTGTCGAATGACATCATCTCGTGCAATGCAGGCCATCGGTCGAGTGGCTCATCGGTGAGGGGTGACATGGAGGAGATCGTGTGGGGAAGAGATGAAAGAAATTGGTGAATCGTGGACCCAGCTGAAGAGGATGGCAGAAAATAGACCACAGTGGATATCCGTTGTTGAATCCCCCGTATGTTCCACTCGGAACCCAAGGGAATAATAATAATAATAATACTACAATAATTTTGTATGAAGAAAGGACCAAGAATACAGACAGATAGTCAATTTTTAAAATCAATATTTTGGTTAGTGTTTCTCATACTTCGAATATACATACATACACACACACACACACGATATTACTGGGACTCTTTCATTATATAAAAATTTCTGAATTTTCTGCTAATTTTTAGGCTCCAGTTGAAGATCTTCGTATTCCACTGCGTGTAGACGGATTAAATGATTTCTTGTGGTTGCCTGTAACAGCCAAAGTAAATGGATTGTCATTGAAATATCGTCTAATTAATCCAGATGACAAGTATGTTCTATTCAGTAAAAAAATATTTCACGCAACAGATTTGAAATATGTTAAAAATGGTGACATTTTACTTTCAAATTTTCGTGTATATAAATAATCCAAATAATCATCTGTCCAAGAGATTATTCCACATTTTCACATTCCTTTGAGCTCTGAGGTTTAGCAGTGAGTCGGCCGAAAATCGAACCTAGTCTTGTCATATTGTCAGTGAGTGTCAATAATAATATAATGATAATCATGAGATTATAAATGTGTTAACATCTTCTAAGATCCTCAATCTACACTCGCAGTGTAATAATAATAATAATAATATTCGCACGAATCAGCTGACCAGATGATAAACTGTTCAGGTTCTTGGTTAATCAGTGGGATCTCAAATGTCTGAAAAGACTCAACCAGCAGGAAATTATTTTTTACCGCTTATTGAAAGACAACACCTATACTCTTGTGAGTAATCTTAGCCTTACCTGGAATCGTACCTGAATCACTTTCCAGTCAACACTCAGCTCTCCTACCTCACAATGTTTATCAGGCGAAAGTTGTTTCCGGATGACATTGGGTTTCAGGTGCCAGTAGATGACTGAATAATAGATAATGACATTGTCTAACCCTGAACTGAATTAAATACCTAAAATAGAAAGCAAATCTTGGAATGGTGTGACAAAGTTCTGGGGATAATTGATCGAGGCCGGATATACACTGAGATTGAAGTGGCTTCTCGTTTTGTGTCTGTATGAAGATCTTACAACCAGCTGCGAACTGCTGCAGTAGCAGAAAGTGTAAAGTGAAATACTGTTTTAGAATTGTGATACTGGTCGATGAGATTATAGAAACATCATGCAGGCAATGTATTTTCTTTGAGTTCGAAGAAGATTTCATTCCTACAGGGAATTATGTAGAGATTTCCGTACTGTTTTGATGTCATCATTTCCACTTTCAGAAATGTATTTACAGCGGTTATGTTCTGTTCCCCAAAACTAAAATAACGCGTAAAACATCCGATGCATTCCGCTTCATGCTACCATTATTCCGACGTATTCATATTTCCTTTCAGAGGCTGAAGGTAGTGACGTTCACGGATAGTACGAAGTATACCAACGGAAGATGTAATACCCACAACTTCTATGGTATTCGTTCCGCGTAGACCAAAGGCACAGCATAGCACCAGAATTGACCTTCCAAATGATGAGTTATATTTCGGGACTGAATGGGAGTGCGAGATGTTTGCTTAACTAGCCAGGGATCGTGCATGAACGAACGAACGAACGTGGCACGACGGCATACCAGATGGCATGGATGGTTGACCGGAAGCTTTCAGATAAACAAGTTAACTTAAACAGTGACGGTCAGTATCCAATGTTCAGTGATGAATGCTGTGGCCAATAATTCTTGGGAATTACCTACCGCTACACCCTCCACATTGCAACATAGTTTTGACATTTGTGAAAAATAAATCGTACTTAAAAGGGATACAGAGTGCCTATCTTATTAGATGCTGAAAAGCATTTTTTTTCCGTCATCGTTATCGATCTTCAACAGTCGGCATTTAGCATGAATCTTCCTGGTAGGAATGCCACTTTGTGTATCTCACTCTGAGAGGCGATGTTGTGCCATTAGCCTTCACACAATAAGTCTACTTAATCTTAGTATAAGTAAAGTCTATTCTGGGATTTTACTATGAAGACCGGAAATCAGTATGAAAGTTTATACTGCAATCGGAACAAAGGAAAAGATCGCGATCTTCAGCACTTGTGTTAAATCAGTGTTTCTATGTGGCTTATAGGCTCGACAGATCACGAGAAGCGTTTCCAACAGGACTTCCATCAATGGATGTCTTCTCTTCATACTGAAGATCAAATGGCATGAAATGAGCAGCACCAAGAGACACTGGAGACTAACAAACTGAAAACCTGTTACATGAAAAATGCTGAAATTAAATGCTGATGTAGTGAGCATGCACTGAGAAGACCACCGGATGACTTTACATGTCAATCCTTATAGTAGAACCGAAATCGGAGACGAAGAGTTGTTCGATGGTCACAGGATGACATGGTAGGGATTATTTGAGGAGATGGTAGCTTGCTGGCGATCTTGGAAATAGCTGAAAGGCGCTGAAGAGGATTGTGTAGCGGATATCTGCTGCTGAAGCACCATATTCCACCAAGAACTCGAGAGTGTTATATTTAATTTCTTTTAATTTTTGATTATAGCTTGATTCCACACAGTATTTTTGATACAAGTATGGAATTTTCAGCATGTAATATTGGTAGCTCAAATCTATCAGCCTGACTATTGTTATTAGGTGTGCGTCGATCGGGCATCAAACCTGGACCATGTGTGTGGTCGGCGAGCGTCCCAACCACTCTGCCACCAACACATAGTAATAATAATAATAATAATAGAAAGTACGGTTTTCATGAAATTGAGATACACCTAACTCTTACAACTTCATTTACGCACTAACAAATGGACTTTTAGAAAAAAATTTCATTATTCTGTAGCTCATTTTCACATTTTATGTTGCCATTTCAGAGTCGATGAAAGCGAATTGAATTCACAAGAGTACTTCACTGTTGTGTCTGATATCAACAGTAAAACTCCTGTTATCAATTTTGGAGAAAATGTTAGTCTTTTTGAACCAGTTGAAAAATGGATTGAATTTATTAATGATACCCCGATACCAACTAAAATATGTATAGACATGGGTAATCTATCAACTAAAGTCAATTATTCAGATTATCATTATAAACCTGAACTTGGTGCAAAACGATTTTTAAAGCTATCCAGTCAAACTACTGATAATTCTATAAGTAGACGAAAATTATTATTATTAATGGCAGAAAAGGAATGTAAAACCGAGATTAGGAACTTATACGGTAAGTTTAATCGAAATATATTGTTTCTTTCAATATCTTTTATGTCATTTTGACATTTATAAGCTACGATCAGGGGTGAAACGAAACATCACTATTTCGTTTATATTTACTGAAACAGTCAAATCAAAGAGCCATAAGTTGAAATCTTTTTATGTTCCAATGTGGTAATATTTTAGGTGTTAGTTTTCTTGGATTTTCTATAGTTTGGTTTGTAAGGATTAGTTATGTTTTACGAGTTGATCACGGATTGATATCAGTTAGAGAACCATTGAAAACCATGGAGTACTGGACAGATGCTGTTTCATCAGCCTAGTTTGGGAATCATCGGCAGTACGCACCCACTGGGATTCGAACCCGGGACCTTCCGGTTACAAGGCAAGCTAGCTCGTATACCATTCAGCCACTGGGACCCGATTCAATGACCAACGCATGAATTCTAACTTCTACTACTTCGTGATTGGTTACAAGATGTCATCATGAGCTAAGGTCGGTAAGAGAACCACTGGAAAACCTGGGATTACTGGACAGCTCTTTCGTGGATGAGTGCTGCTGAAGAGTCTCAAACTAGGACAAACCACCACCATTGTTTGAACCCAAAACCTTCCGGTTGCAAGGCGATCTGGTACACCATTAAGCCACTTGGCCTTTGTCAGGTGCGTAACGATGACAAGTCTCAAACTAAGACGAAACAGCTGTCTCCCAGCTTTTCCTATGGTTCTCTAACCGATGTCAGATAATGATGAAATCCGGTAAAATGTTATGGTTATATTCATTTATATAGCACATGATTCTACGTGGATATTAGGTTGAAAAGAACAAGAAGTTCAGCAAAGATGGAGATTTTTTCGGCGATTTCATTTTCAAAAGCACCTGTACAATCGCATTTATATAGATTAGTTTACATGGATACAATTATTACTCAAGTGTTGGTTTGTAGGGATTTGATTGGCTTCAGGATTTCATCATGAGCTGACATTAGTTACAGAACCATTGGAACTGTCAGCTGTTTCGTCCCACTAGTTTCGGACTCTTCAGCAGTACGCACCCACCAGGATTCGAACCCAGGACCTTCCGGTTACAAGGCGAGCTCGTATACCACTAAGCCACTGGGACTTGATCCAATGGTCCTTGAATCCTAACTTCTGTCAATTCGCGACATAGCGCAACCGCTAGCCAATGTCTTCGGCGAGTATTTGTCCTGCTGAAGAGTCCCAAACTAGGACGAAACAACTGTCCAGTACTCCCAGGTTTTCCAATGGTTCTCTAACTAATGTCAGCTCATGATGAAATCCTGAAACCAATCAAATCCCTACAAACCAACACTTGAATACCAATAAGATGCTCACTGGCGACTGGCCCTATTCAGGTAGGTAGTTACCTGGGTCCCAGTGGGAAGTCGTGACCAGTAGGGTGCAGCTGGTCGGGTGTGAGGACAAATACTCGCCAAAGACATTGTCTAGCGGTCGCGCTATGTCGTGAATTGGCAGAAGTTAGAATTCAAGGACCATTGGATCGGGTCCCAGTGGCTTAATGGTATACGAGCTCGCCTTGTAACCGGAAGGTCCTGGGTTCGAATCCCAGTGGGTGCGTACTGCTGAAGAGTCCGAAACTAGTGGGACGAAACAGCTGTCCAGTACTCCAAGGTTTTCCAATGGTTCTCTAACTACTGTCAGCTCATGATGAAATCCTGAAACAATTATTATTTGCTTAATTCCACATAGTAACGAAGGTGATAAGAATTTTTAACTAGATATGAAAGTGTGAAGGTACGAATATAGATTACAAGGGGCTTAAAGACAAAATTGCATTGGATTAGAAAACAATAACAACGTATGCGAAATTAATTTTTGATAACTGGAGAAATAATAATTTTAAAGGCGAATAAAAGGTGATAATTGTTTTCAACTTGATATAAATTACAAGAGGCTTAGAGACTCAGGGATAGAACGAATTACAGGTGTGAACCAAATGAGCATGGAAACAAATTGAAACCCTCAATACATTCCCAATCCATCGCGATTTTCTCCGGCCAGAGTTTCTTGTTACTAATTCTTTCTTGCAAGCTAGTTTGCTAGGCGAGGTTTTGTAAACTCTATATGATGGTTAGAAATTTGTCAGCCATGGATTGAACCTCTAGCAAGATTGTTGGTGAGTATTCTGTCATTAAACCATCAACGCTACCGTCATCACTAAAAAGAATTAATGGTGCTTAAAATTTTGTTTCCCTTGATTGATGAGTTTAAGTCAATATAAAATTCACAGTTTCAATTTACAAATTAATTCGCCATTTTTGATTTATTCAATTCACGATACAGTTCAACCATATTCTGCTTTGCAAACCAAAATTAATCGGATCACAATATTTGACCTGCTTGATACCATAAATGTTGATTATGAAAGCAAGCTGGGTACTACTGATTAACCAATATAAGTAGTTTCATCAGTTAGGAGTGTTTGCTAGACAGCTTTGTCGGTGTAAGTTCAATACTGGATAACCATTCCTCTTGTTCGAGATCAAGCTCAACTGTAGTCTACCCAGTTTGACTTAAGTCAGAGAGTCAAGTCATTTCAAACCACTCGAGGTCGAATTGGTAAAGGAGTCTTCATATTCTCCTTTCACACACAGTTTTAGTACCCTTTAGCCAATCGAATACTTTATGAAGTAGAATCTCCTCATTATTGAGTTCAGATAATATACAAATATATTTTGATTGGACACTAGTTAAAAGTGTTCAATCCAAGTATTTACCAGAGTCCTACAGGGGGTCAATCGCCAGAACGTCTCTGACTGACTGCAGCACTCACCTAGTGATGCGGGTTCAAACCCTGAAGAGGGACATGAGTTCTTTCGAGGTCGCAGATACGCCTTGCTCACCGGTGAGTGCCGACTCCCACGAGACCTAAGTCCAAGGCTTCCTGCCGGTTGCCTTCAACCATCTAATGTATACAAATAAATTATTATGCAGTTAGAATATTCACTTTTATTCGTTTTTAACTAATCCCATTTCTTTGATTGGAGGATTTCATCATGGAAAACCGCCAGGGAGTACTGGAAAGCCGTTTTGTCCTAGTTTGGGACTCTTTAGAAGTACGTACCCACTGCTGTCCCAAAATAGGACGAAGTGTTTATCCAATACTCTCAGCTAATATTCCAATGGTTCTTTTACTGACTTCAGCTCATGATGGAATCCTCCAACCAATCAAAATATAATCTCTACAAAAGCTGACACTTGAAAATTATCCCATTTCTGTTTTTTAGATTGGTGCAATTCATTACTGGAAGGCTCTAAAGGTGCTTGTTTACTTGCTCATTCAGCAATTTCATCTTCCTCTAGTGGTTGGGCGTCAGATTTTCAATTAGCTGAGTATAATTTAGTTACAGTCAATACATATCAATCTGAAACGTTGATTATGCCCTCTTGGTGTTTACCTGGCTATGGTTATCTAAGAATATGCTTCATATGTATAGCCAATTTGTGGGGTGCATATCAAGACAGTATACGTGTCTACGTATTTCCAGAGTTTAATATTCCAAATGAAGTTAATTTACCGCACATAGAAATGCCAGTCAGATTCAAAGTAATTGGATGTCCAGTATATTCTATAGCTACAGGACATTTTGGTCAGTTGTCTAACAATCTAATGACGTCGATGCATCATAATACATTAAGGAGTAACGATATACTCCCTAAAACCGCTTTACCACTTACAGCTACCCGACAATTTATACGATTTGGTAGTGTTCTATACAATGGTCCGACTGTGAAACGGAAAATTCGTCTACATAATTCATGTGGAACAGGTTAGTTAACTTATGTCCAAACCAAGTGTTCACTTTTAACAGTTTGAAAAAAAATTTGGGCATTGGGAATATGATATTTATTATAATAAAGATCCTTTGTATTTCCCAGTGAATGAAAAACAAAACGATATTGTTATGTTTACTGACGTTTAGCTATTGAATGCTAATAGCTTTATCAAAGTAGTATTATTAAACCAGAATTTGTAAAATCTCAGCTTATATATAACAACATAATCATCGTTTCATACATTTATTCCCCTTAATGAATTTGAACAAAGCAAGAGAACTACAGTTTTAGCAGAATAAAATGGTACCATCTTTTATTTCGTTGCCTTCTCGTCAGCTGCTTACATGGCAAAGACATTATTAAATATATCTACAACAACAATTTTAACATACTTGCCCACACAGAGTTCAGTTTAAACAAAAATCAATCGATCAATATACTCATACACTAAAAATATATACATATATAAATATGCAATATTAACCACTATTCGAACAATAATAATCAAACACAATGGAAACTTTTAGCATTTCACATTCGGAGGAAAGAGAGGTGAAATTATCCAGTTACCAGGCTGGGCAAAGAAAGACTGATAACCGCTTCTTTCTGGACGCATAAATCAGGTTTCAGGCGCTTGATGGAAATGGCTTCAGCAAACTTAAGGAGAATTGAGCTATTTTGCTTATTGATAATTTTGAACGACTTTTCAACGTCCACCTCATGACCCGTGTCGAGAAGATGCCTGGTGACGGCACTGTTCAAAGCATTTGTTCCCTTTAGACGTAAGCTTTTTGGTACATGTTCAGAAAATCGTAGATATGCCTTTCTTTCTGTCCTTCCAATGTAACTGCTCCGCAGATACATGTAAATTTGTATACACAGTTGAAGGTAACATGAGAAGGATATCTATCGATTTTTGATTGCACCAAAGAGCAAGTTGTTCGATAGACGGGAACGAGCTTAGCTGCAGGATACGCTATGGCTAGTGATGTACTCAGCCTTCTGTTGATCATCGCTGCAATATTTTCACCTTTATAATCAAGCTGAAGGTAGACTGGCATTTTTTCCACTGTGATTTGTTTTACATTTGTGACTTCAGATCTTCCATACTTGTTGATGAACCTTTGGGGATACCCATTTCTCTTCAATATATTTTCAAGGAACTCAAACTCCTCCTCTAGTTTCTCTATAGAGCATATTCTCCTCGCTCTATAGCACAGAGTCTTGACTAGAACACGTTTAAAGCTATGTGGACAAAAGCTATTAAAATGCAAGTATTGTCCTTTCCATGTGGGCTTTCGATAAATTGACTTTTGAAGACTACCGTCTTCTAGGCGTTCCATGGCTATGTCGAGGAAGTGAAACTTTCCATCATTTTATATTGGTTATATCAAAGAAACTATCAAGGAGATTATGTATCCTCTGTCTGTGTGTTTTTGAGTAAATCCTTTTTCTAAGAAGAATTAATATTTTGGCCTTTGGAAAACATAATAACTAGTCGATTTTCATTAGTCTGTAGAGTGACTTAAATGCTGGATCCTAGAGTTTCTTTTCAAACATAAACATTTAGTTTCTTAAGGTGTTGATACATCTGTTCGTCTAGTAATACTTTGGGAGAATCAAGAAAAATTAGTGTTAATTGTTCCATGCTAGTTAAAGGTGGATGTGAAAACAGACAGTTATTCCCGTTTGATGCTCTTCAACTGAATGTAATGTGATTCTAGTAAGTGATAACGTTCTTAGTGGAAAGTCGATTAGTGCTTTAATGGCCAACTTAACAGTACTTTAGCACAATTTAAACAAAAGGGACGCATCACTTTTTATGAAATCCCTAAGTGAGAAAGATACCATGTCGAAAAATATAATGAATTGGAATAAATCAAACTAATTAATGCGAAATTTCAAGATCCAAATAGATTGCAACAGCTTCTATGACTATAATATCATATTACAATTTCACTCCCAAATTCAACATACTAACAGGATCAAAGTAGGGGTGATATTTTTGGTTATTACTAGTTGTGAATTCTGACCATTAAAATGTTAGTTCATCTTTCATTTCAATCGATATTTCTTCGAAGATAATCACTCAATCAATAATCCTTAAAGATTTGAATTGCTGAGTTTCACTATCTGGTTTCATTTTAATCAAATTTACACTTGAATTGTGCTCAAGTCTCTTTTTCTACAACTGAAACAAGCCCACCGAAAAATTAATCTCATTTTTATTTTCAAGTGAAAATTTAAACGTCTCTTAATCATGGCAAATTAAAACAGTATAATAATTTAGATTAATCAACAAGAAGGCGTAATTTGTCTGAATTGTATATTGTATATCTGCACAACACACATTTCGAACAATCTGATCCATCACACACAGACTTGTCATACGAATATATATGTATATATATTCATGAAATTAATAGAGTTAACAGGTGTGGAAATAAATCTAGGTCAAGTTAAAAAAGAAACATTGAAGGTCAAAATAACAATGAAGATCACTAAACCAAATAACAGAGGTAACAAACAGTACATCTCTCCTGGCTGGTATCAAAACAAAGTTTACCAAGGAGGGAGGGTTTAGTGTGATGACGAATTGTTGGTTTGAACGCATAAAGGTGGTTTAAACTTTCGAATTTCTAGCTGGGACTTACACAAACATTAGGATACGCCCTCCCCCGAACACGTTCTATAGATAGGTATAAAAGATATGTGAACATCAGTTTTATGTCCTGTCTCTATAATATATATTTCGCAATACAGGTGCTAAGTCTCCTGTTCTCCCCATTATTGGGTTCTGTGGGTTCTGTTTACTTCAGAAGCCTTTTAGGAATATGTTCTGAAGTCAGCCTTTACTTGCAGACGTCGATGAGTACTGCCTATGTTTGTGTGGCCAAATGTACGTTCAAGGCGGTAAATACTGTGTGATATGACATCATTTTTCGCATGTTCAAAGGGCTTAGACAAATATATTGGCTTCACATTATTATGATAATAGCTGAATAAAAAGTTTTCTTAACGGCAGCGTTCAATCTTTGTCTAGTTGTCAAGCTGCTGGTATCCTCTACATAGGGTGGCTTGATGTATACGTCCTTCTTAGATGCGAGTTGGAGAATGGGTCTTGGTGTTTTGACTAATTTATATCTCCTGATGGACTTGTCTGAATAATTATTATTAAGCCGGGTTTGTGTCAACTTCTTTTCTTCTTCATCAGGCGTGTCTTGAGTGCATATTCGTTGGATTCTACTGAAAAAGCTCCTCAATCACTAAGACTCTTTTGTACCAAACAGCGCAGAAACTGCGAAAATTAAGACACTGTCCTGTCCAGGTAGATTTTCTATAAATAGATCGTTTGACTGATCCATCAGGCCATCGACAAAACAATATATCTGGGAAAGACAAACCATTATCTTCCTCTTCTATAGACGTAAGTGATAGGCTATTCTGAACTTCATTCATTCGATTTAACATGGAGGTGGCAGAACAAGACTTATCACTTATAATAACAATGACGTCTACATACCTCCTATAAAATGGCACATTTCCGAATAAATCCTCCAAAATAATCCCTAGAACTCAATAATGGTGAGAACAGGAGACCTAGCAACTCTATTGCGAAATATATTTTTTTAAATTTTTGTTTACGGCTTGATTCCACACTGTATTTTTGGTACAAGTATGGAATTTTCAGCATGGATATCGGTAGCCCAAATTTTGTAGGCCGACCATAGGTATCAGGTGTGCGTCAGCAAGGGATTGAACCTCGGACCATGTGCTTGGTCGACGAGAGTCCTAACCACTGTGCTACCTATATATTATAGAGGCAGGACATAAAACTGACGTTCACATATCTTTTATACCTATCAATAGAACGTGTTTGGGGGAGGGCGTATCCTAATGTTTGTGTAAGTCCCAGCTAGAAATTCGAAAGTTTAAACCACCTTTATGCGTTCAAACCAACAATTCGTCATCACACTAAACCCTCCCTCCTTGGTAAACTTTGTTTTGATACCAGCCAGGAGAGATGTACTGTTTGTTACCTCTGTTATTTGGTTTAGTGATCTTCATTGTTATTTTGACCTTCAATGTTTCTTTTTTAACTTGACCTAGATTTATTTCCTCACCTGTTAACTCTATTAATTTCATGAATATATATACATATATATTCGTATGACAAGTCTGTGTGTGATGGATCAGATTGTTCGGAATGTGTGTTGTATAAATACAAAATACACTAAACGATTTAGATAAATTACGTCTTCTCATTGCCTTGTCTAAACTCATAAAAGGAACCACTGGTTCCTGCAAACTAATGATTAGCAATGAAAGTGCATGGGTAGTTTAGTCGATTGCCAACTATACAGTAGTATTTAGTGTACACTTTTCCATATATTTCCTGAATCAATTAGTACTTTGTATTGAGTATTATGTTTACCTGAAATCTTGAAATGAGTTATTCACTTGATGACAAGTTTCGATTGGTATGATTGTACCGATTTCATTGGATTTACCAAAGGTATATGAAATTATTATTATTACTATTCACTCCATACCTTTCAAGCGGTTTTTGTTGATATGTAGGCTTCTTATGAGGATGCTTCGACGATGTCTGAGGACTAAAGTGATGTAATTCAATGGGTGATGACTAGTTGTGGAATCTATGAGGCTCACTTCGTCCCACTTAGGATCCGTCATCTGGATTATCCTACATTTCCTAATGAGTCGTACTGTTCCCACTGAAATGTTACCAATGTATATCCATTAGTACTCTAAACTGGAGAGAACTCTTATACATCATTTTGTATTACGACTGTGATCTGTGTTAACAGTAAATAGACAATTCATATCACTATCATCATTATCATCATCATCGTTAGCATCTCTCTTTTATTTTCTCTTTTTTCAACAGCTATAAGAATCGACTGGCAAGTATTTCTTGACTCTGAAATTGAAGAAACTGATCAGTTGTTAAATCTTTTATGTTTTATCTCAGAACCATTTGAGAAATTACCATCTTCTTTATTAATTGATGACCAATTTTTAGACAGTACTGAAAGTAAGTTTACAGCTGTAAAATAAATTATACTGGACAAGGGGATGTATTTTAAAAAATATTACGCATTATTTAAACAAACATTCAATGTTTCAATAACTTTATTTTGAATTATCTATAAAAATTAATCAAATCATATTCGAAAATCACATTTCTTGAGGTATTATATCCATTTATCCTCCTAACTATCGGTTTGTGTAAATACTTCATTAAAATACATGACGCTACATCGTCACATATTGCATTTTTATGTTCAATGATCAATGTTATCTACACAGCACCTTAAACAAAACCGATATTCCCTTATGATTCGAATCCTCAGATTTTACCTAATTTTAATTTTTTTTTTATGAGATTGATTTCTCTTAGCTGAGTGATTTAACTGAGAAGGTTTCATTGGCTGTCTAGACAACACCCCACTAGTGCAAACCTCGATAATTTTTTCCAAGTATTGGCTTGTAGGGGTTTGATCAATTGGTTAAATGATTTCATGATGAGCTGACATCGGTTAGAGAACCATTGAAAAATCAATCAATCAAATGTCTACAAACCAATACATGAATATTAGTGAGATACTCACTGGCGACTGGCCCTATTCAGGTAGGTAGTTACCTGAGGTTCTAGTGAGAAGTCGTGACCAGTAAGGTGCAGCTGGTCAGATGTGAGGCCGAATTCCCACCGAAGACATTGACTAGGGGTCGCGTTATGTCGTGCATTGGCTGTAGTTGGGATCCATTGGCCATTGGACCGAGTCCAAGTGGCTTAGTAGTCTAAGAGATCGTCTAGTAACCAGAAGGTCCTTGGTTAGAACCCCAACCGGTGGGGGCATACCGATGAAGAGTCAAAAACTAGACTGACGAAATACAGTCCAGTACTCCCAAAGGGTTTTCCAGTGGTTCTATAACCGATATCAGCTCATGATGAAATTTTTTTTCTATTTAGCGTCAATACAACCCCGAACTCTGCCTACAGAAAAAGTTAGTCCAGTCTCTTATTCTACCTTGGTCTTAACCTCTTCATTAGTCGTTCTTTGTAAAAGACTTTGATTTTTTTCTTTTACTTTTTTAATCTTCAATTTTACTTTTATTATTATTATTATTGTATCCTTTAGTTCCTAGAGGAACATAGGGCTTCAGCTGCGCACCTCCATTGACTTCGGTTTTCTGACAACTTTTTCACCCTGCTCCAGGTCTGTCCGCATGCTTTCATCTCCTCCTCGCATGACCTCCTCCGAGTCACCCTTGCACTGACGACCAACCCGCCGCCTCCCTTTCGGGTTCCACTCGAGGGCTTGTCTAGTGATGTCACTCACTTGATGGTTTCCTCAGCGTATGGCCAATCCATCTCCATTTCTTTCTGCCTATTTGTTTCACAATCGGTTCCTGATTGGTTCGCACCCAGAGGCAACACTAGGCAACTCTTTAGACTCATCACAGAATCGGGCGGGAGAAGGCAATTCATAAGTGAGACTATTTCTGAGAAAAATGGCTCCTTAATTAGCTCTCAGGATAGACGCCTTGAACGCTGGAAAGAACACTTTGAGGAACAATTTAACTTGCCTACAGCCACACTGAACCTCCCCGCCATCCACCACGTACCCGAATGGGATATAGACACTGGTCCGCCGTCTGTAGGTGAGGTTACAAAAGCTATCAGTAATTTGAAACGAGGCAAAGCGGCAGGACCCGACGGAATTATTCCGGAGGTGTTTAAATATGGGGGTGACATACTAGTTTGTAGATTAACTGAGGTACTAGGCAAAGTCTGGGAATCAGAGACAGACCATCAGACTGGGGTAAGTCACTTATTATACCGATATTCAAGAAGGGAAACAAGTCCTCGTGTGATAATCATAGGGGGATCAGCCTAACGAACATAGTCTCTAAAATCCTAGGCTCAGTAATCATGCATAGACTAAGCAGAACTCGGGAGGAACAGACAAGGGAAAATCAAGCAGGCTTTAGACCAGGTAGAGGGTGCATAGATCATATCTTCACTCTTCGACAGATTCTAGAACATAGACACACTTTTCGGCGTCCAACAATTGTCATATTTCTTGACTTGAAGGCGGCCTTCGACTCCGTGGATCGAAAGGTACTATGGCAATGTCTGACTGTGAAGGGAGTGCCAAGAAAGTACATTGCACTAATCAAGGCACTCTATTCAAACTCACGTAGTCGTGTAAGGGCTTATGGGGAATTGTCATCTGAATTGGTAACAACCAGTGGTGTCCGACAGGGATGTCCACTTTCCCCATTTCTGTTTAACTTCATCATAGATATGCTAATGGAAGTATCCTTAACTGAACGTAGTGACTTAGGAATCGACTTGTTACCAGGGAATAATCTTATGGACTTAGAATATGCAGATGACATAGTCCTGTTAGGGGAGGATGCTGACAAAATGCAGAGTCTTCTGAACACCTTGAGCAGCAATCTTCGTATGTTTGGCATGCGATTCGCCCCTGCAAAATGTAAGATGCTGCTACAGGACTGGACCACGTCAACCCTAACTTAGTGATAGGGAGTGAAGTGATAGAACATGTTGACCACTTCACCTACTTGGGAAGTTGTATTAGCACCAACGGACTGATTGGCGATGAAATCTCAGCACGGATCCGAAAAGCTCGAGCTGCTTTCGCTGACTTACACCATCTCTGGCGTAGGCGTGACATCCGGTTATCAACCAAGGGACGTGTGTACTGCTCATCAGTTCGCTCCGTCCTTCTCTATGGCTCTGAAACATGGCCAATACGCGTTGAAGACATGAAAAGGTTGACTGCTTTCGATCATAGATGTCTGCGATCTCTGTCTCACGTTAGGTGGTTTCACAAGGTAAGTAATGTTGACGTTAGGCGTAGAGTGTTGGGCAAAGAGGGAAAATCAATCGACGAGGCTATAAAGTTACATAGACTAAGATGGCTAGGTCACGTGCTGCGCATGCCTAACCACCGCCTCCCCCGACGGGCATTGCTAGCTGATATAGGTTCAGGTTGGAAAAGAGCCAGTGGTGGCCAAACAAAAACATGGCATCAATCCATGAAATCCTTGACAGTTAAACTGAGTCAGGTAGGGAGATGCAGACTCCCGGGTTGGGGCCCTCGGGACTCTAGGAATCAATGGCTGGAGACAATAGGTGACATGGCTCAAAATCGTTGTCAATGGCGCAGATGTATTCAATCTCTGTAATCTTTCATATTCCTTTCTACCATTACCCATTCTGTTTCACTCTTATATTTGTCAAACTCTATTAATTCTCTTCACTCATCTTCTTGTCTACCTCTGTGCTATTTGGAACGTGGCAACTCGAACTGCTGCACTTCGGTGCCAAGTTCTATGTTGAATCCAGACAGACCCAGAGATCCCTGTTGCTGATCTTTTCTGGCCATCTGATCTTGAGTATTGAGCGGAGACAGCTGTTAATGAAGGTTTGAAGTTTGTTCGAGGTGCTCTTTATGACGCGCTGGCCAAGTCTCTGATCCGTATAGTAGCACTGACTTCACATTTTCACACCCTTTTCACTCAACTAACTTTATTCTTACTCAGTAGCAATTATAACATCAAATTTTTTCCCTTTTTTCCGTTGAGTTCCACATAATATACAACTTTTAGTCTTACTTCTAAGGTCACTTCTAAGTAATTATATCAATTATGTCACCCCCAAGCCTATTACTCAATAATAGACTACTATGCATTTTTGTTAAATATAAATACGACTGTAAAGCCTGTGAATGATTTCGTCGATAAAGAAGATTTTCTTCACTGAAGTTGTCTTTTATTTTCTTCATGACTAAATGGAAATTTTGGTGATTTTTTTTGTTCTTTTACATTCCCAGTGAAAAAATAGACGGCTTCAAGCTACACAACTTTGAAGTTTCCGTAGCAGTGGTGTTTATGTTTACGAGACAAGGTTGCAGGTCTCATGTTCGAATCTTCCCTCTTTACCAGTCTTATTACTGGCTTAGCGAGCGAGGTAAAGGAGTGCGTTGATGGTCAGGGATCAAACCGCGAGTGCTGTTGACCTCCACACAGATTTGAGAGTAATGAAAGCTTGTCTTGCTTTTCCGATTCTGGCTTTGATATCCTCGTCAGTTCCGTCGGCCTGTAGTTGAGACGATGCTTCCCAGGTAGGTGAAGGAGGCTGTTTCTTTCAGGTTCCTCCCATTTATGCCGGCTGATTGTTGTCTGTTGTTGTTGCTGCTGTTGTTGGCCAAGAATCTTGGTGGTGTTTATGTTTACGAGACAGGGTTGCAGGTCTCATGTTCAATCTTCCCTCTTTATTAGTCTTATTACTGGCTTAGCGAGCGAGGTAAAAGAGGTGCGTTGATGGTCAGGGATCAAACCCCGAATCCCATGTGTAGTTGTTGAGCATTCTGCTGCTATGCCATCCACGCATAATAAAGACTTCTTGTCTGATCCTCTTTCTCTCTGTCTCTCTCTCTCTCTCTTGATGACTTTGGTTGTGATCAGTCGTCAGCTGGCATTAATAATGATCTCATTTCTTTTGACGTGAAATTCGACTGTTTTGTCACTACACCTAAGCAAAGAGGGAAAATCAATCGACGAGGCTATAAAATTACATAGACTAAGATGGCTAGGTCACGTGCTGCGCATGCCTAGCCACCGCCTCCCCCGACGACGGGCACTGCTAGCTGATATAGGTGAAGGTTGGAAAAGAGCCAGTGGTGGCCAAACAAAAACATGGCCTCATCAATCCATGAAATCCTTGACAGTTAAACTGAGTCAGGTAGGGAGATGCAGACTCCCGGGTTGGGGCCCTCGGGACTGACTCTAGGAATCAATGGCTGGAGACAATAGGTGACACATGGCTCAAAATCATTGTCAATGACAGCGCAGATGTATTCAGTCTCTGTAATCTTTCATATTCTTTGTTACCATTACCCATTCTGTTTCACTCTTATACTTGTCAAACTCTATTGATTCTCTTCACTCATCTTCTTGTCTACCTCTGTGTGCTATTTGGAAGGTGGCAACTTGAACTGC